GCTGATGTGAGTGATGCAGAGATGGACACAGACATGGACATGGACATGCTTGATGGTGAAGATGTTGAAGACGATGATAATGATAATGATAATGATGATGATGAGGATGATGGTGGTGATGATGATGATATTGATGGTGATGGTGGTCGTGGTAAGAAGAAAAAGCAAGAGAAAAGAAAACGGAAATCTCCATTTGCAAGTCTTGAAGAATACGAGCATTTGATAGACCAAGACGAGAAGGATGATACAAAGTCTGAAAGAAAAGCAACATCAGAGCCCACGAAGAAGAAGAAAAAGAAGAAGACCAAAGCATAAGAGTACAAAAGTTCAAAGTAAGAAGCAAGATTTGTTGCTTGGTATGCAAGCCTCCTTGTGCTGTTGAGTGCTATACTGAAACGCTGGAGATAGTTTACTCCAATTTTTGTGGCCTTTTTTAAAATGTTTTTCCTTCTACAATTTTTGTTTTCATCTTTGAAGAAAAATATTGTACGATATTATGTTATAGTTGAATCACTTGAGACTAATTGAAACTATGGTTCAAATATCATCAACTCAACTCTTTCGAGTATTTTCTATTTACTTACAGTTAGAAAGATATAAAATTTGAATATAGAGTGATGTGATGGTATCATGAAAGCCACAGGCGTGAAAATCCAAGTTGATTTAGTTGTAATTGGGGGTGGTTAGTAAAATCATCTTAGATCCTTTAATTGAGTGGTATGATTAAGACATGCTTAGTTCTTATGTAACCTTAAAATCTTACTTTTTTTGGGGATAACCGAACCTTAAAAATCTTACTTTAGAAAGAAAAAAACATATCCAAACCTAAACCCATTTTCGAAAAAGATGTAACAATATTTTGAAACATTTCCAAATCCATAAATGGATCAGGTCAAAACAATAAAAACCACAACTACTACGCTAACCATTTATATAGTCAGACTACATTAAGAAATACGAAGTATAAGTTGACAAAAATAATAATTACGAAGTATAAAATGCGTATTAATAAATTAATATGAATTCGAAAATATTAAAGTAGATTAGTTGCACAATTGTCGCGCACTTAGATAGAACAACACCATCCCAACTGGCTTGTCTCTACTTTAGTTTTGGACTCTAGCTTCGTTTCTCATTCATCTAATCTACAATTTCACTTAAATAATTAAGCTCCTAACCTTTTCACTAATACTTTTTAAATCACTTAACACAAAAAAATATATGTATTCCTTAAAAGTATTATTATAGAGTACCTTAGAATATTGTGTAATACAGGTTGCTTCTTTTTTAATTAGTTAAAATAGCATAACTCGATTTTTAGCAAATCATTACAATGATTACGAATAGCAGCAAGTAATTAGTATTCATCCAAAACTCAGATTGCTTGTCTGTTTCGTGTGATCATTCCAGTCTATATATGCACACGCATATACGCATATATGTGATTTGTGTCATTTTCCTATCATCAAAAAACACTTAAGAGATGGCACGATCTTGATCAAACTGTTAGGTCTAACTAGTTTGATGCATATATACGTACATAAGTTTATTAAAGATAAGACATTGGACAGTTATCTAATGTCTAATGATGAGTGAGTGAGTACTATTTAATTTACTATTCCTTTACTTTTGCCATAAACAAGTATTTAAAAGAAGTATCTAAAATTCCTTAAAAATGATTACTTACCATCCACAACTTTTTTTTCTTTTGTTCGATCGAATAGACAGAGGGTAAGGTCTTCTCCACCTAATTTTTCGGAAATACCAAACTAATGTTATTCAACAAAATGATCAATATGTATTTTGTAAACAACAAAAAGAAAAAAAAAAAAACATAACATGCCTTGTGATTGATTTATATGCATTCGTCAATTTAATTTTATATGGGGTTTCCGAATATATCTTTCGTTAGAATGGGTTTTGTTTATTCACATATAATATTATATGTTAAATTGAGATATGAATTAAGAAAAACAAAAAAAAAAGTCGTGGAGAGATGAAGTCATGAAGACCATATTTGTTATTTTGTGTAATATGTATGAAGGACAAGAAATTAGCATTATCGGGTGATATATCGAACAAAAATTGTGGACAAGATGTAATCGTTATCTAAAAACATCACTCTTTGTCCGATCATTAGACAACAACACGCAATAAGAAGAGGTCGCCTACACATCTCTACACGTATACGTATATGTACTACATCTACGTATTATTTTTTCTATCATATACAAAATTAGAGGAAAATCACTTATTCGGTAAAATAGTAATGCTTAACAAGGATTTTTAATATTCTAACATACGTAAACGAAATATGTTACTACAATTTTTCAAAGATTTTTTTTTTTTTTGACAGACGTAGGCTAAATAAATCGTTACGTGGAAAATAGTATATAAACCTTTATAAAAATAATATATATGTGTATATATGAGTATATATATAATATTTGAAAATAGAGTATCTAATGTATCTTATACTGTAGTAATTTTTGTCATGTTCATCTAGGATTAATTGATTTAAAACAAATTAAATTTAAGTGTTAGTTTTAATCAAACTAATTATTTAGGTTAACGTCCAAAAATAATCAATAGTTATATGATGAAACTATTCAGATATATGCATGGTTCGGTTAGTATATCTGTATATGTGATGTTTTTGAGTCTTTAATTAGTATCTTACTAATCATTTTTTTTTTAAACAGATCGAATTGTATTCTGTCTTGTATTTTTACGTATTATATTATCATTTCCGTCTGTTTCTTTATAGCCGTTTTCGTTATATATAATCTGTTGACAAAAATATATAATATATGAAATAATTTTATAAAATTTGAATAAATTTATGAAAGTAATTACACATAGTCATATAGAGATTTGTAATTTACAAGATACAAAGCCAAAAAAAAAAAAAAACAATGGGCAAAGGCGATGCTAGTTTTGCCATTTTTATGTCCTCATCTTCTCTTAGCTGTTATGCATCAATCGGTGGGTCATGCATCTCTCTCTCTCTATACGTTCTTTCTCTTTCTCTCTTTGCCCTTTCTCTATCTCTCAGTCGATATTATATATATACACGAACCTTCCTCGTTATTTCCTCCCAAGAACAACATCTCTCAAACATTCTTCTTATTCATCCAATTATTTTTTTGATCCCCACACACACTCTCACATCAAACACATCTCTCCTACCTCATAAACCCTAAACCCTAGCTGGTTTTAACAACTCTCTCTTGTTCCAAAATCCAAGAAACAGTTTCATCAGCATCATTAGCTATGGCCAAAGTCGGGAAGCTGACAAAGCTCAAGTCGGCGATGAAAAAATGGCCTTCTTTCGCCAAGAACCACCACCACTCAACCTCTTCAGCAGCTGTTTCCGACGAGCTCTCGGAGGACAACAACCTCCATGTGGTTTATGTTGGTCAGACTCGAAGACCTTACATGCTTAGACCGGACATCATCTCTCATCCACTCTTTCAAGAACTCGTAGATCGATCCTCTAGATCCGTCGAACAAGATCGTGAGATTGTTGTAGCTTGTGAAGTCGTTTTGTTCGAGCACTTGTTGTGGATGCTCAAGTCTGGTCAAGAAGGAGGATCCGTTGAAGAATTGGCTGAGTTCTATACTTATTGACATATGGACCGATTGATTTTACATATATACATTTATTTCGTATGATATAATTACTCTTTTTTGTTGTTGTTTTGTTACGTTTGTTGCTGATTTGTATTTTGATTCGATGCGGTGTGTGATCCAAACATGATCTCTTAAACCATGTCATTTGCTTCTGTTTTTTCTGAGCATTTTACGATGATGATGAGCATACATATATATATGTAGTTTCTATCAATTTACTTTGTTACGACCAAGCAAAATAATAAATTTATTTATTAACAACAATCTTTAAATGTATTTTCAGTGATTTCGAGAAAAAACCAAAACTTAGTGTGCTGGTTAGTTTTGTTTCTTTATTGTGGCGGTTTTGTAACATTTGTTTCTATTTTTGTAACGTATCTTTCTCATGAGTCATGAGTCTCATGACATAATAAAGAAGTGCCTTTGATGATGTTCGAAATTACTTTAGTTCCGATTAAAAAAATACTAAAAGAATATGACGAGTCCAAAATTCATTTTATCTATATAAAAACAATGAATAGCAATGATTTATATCATCGATATTCATTAACTATTCATGGTGTTTTCTTTTGTGCGTATATATGCATAATTTGTATGGTGTCTATTTCAAATACAATTTTTTTTTTTTTTTTTTTGTTTTAGGTTGGTTTGGCGTATAAAATAGAAACTACAATGCAAACTATACGAAGGATAATAATAATGGTCGCTCTCATGACGCGTTGGTGACCTGGTCCCAATTTTCATGGCCCCTACTCTGCTTTCTAGTTGCAGATATTATATTTTTGTTTGTCTTTAAAATATATTCCTAAGCTCTTTCAGCCATACAAAAATAAATTAAAAGTTTACGTGATTTAAATTAAATAAATGTGTAGTTAGTAGAGTACTAATTGGCATTGCTTAACCAATATCGTGTATGTGCATTGTACATTTTTATTAGAGACATTAATTTACGAGGTGGTGACGAAACGGACGCGAGGAATCTCTATTATATAAAGAGACTCGAGGACTTTATTATAATATATAAAAGATTAAAGAGATAAGTAATTAGTTAGACCAAATTTTTTAATTTAAGTTTTAAATACGACGAAGAAGAAGCTCTAATCATTATATATGCTTCCTAATCAAAGAGGGAGAAGTTTCTTGGTCAAGTTTTTAAAAAAATTAAGCTTCTTGTTAATTGATTCCGACACGCTAATGATTGACAAGTCACTCGGTGTGTCTTTTCCGCAAACTTCATGGGACTTCTTCTTCTTCTTCTTCCACTTCTGTCTTCTTCATTACATCTCTCCTTTATATAATTATAAATATTATATACAAGTGTTTTATAAATTCGGTTGGTAGCTTAATTATTATTATGGGATTTGCTTATTTCAATGTCGATTGTTAGAATAAACTGGATTTGACCTCAGGTTACCAGAAAATAACAACAAATACAGGTGCTGCTGTGTCTTAGTGGGCCGTGCAAGGAGATGGGGAATTATGAACCGACAACGTTTGGTGTCATATAACTATCGGGGTTTAAACTGATGCTATGTAAAAAGAGACTAATGATCTGATTTCAGATATGTCAGACTTTTACTGATAGACTTACATCCCATGTTTACATTACACCACCAATCCTCTCATGTAAATCTTGGATAACATATTAACATTATGAGGTTTATTTTAGTGTGTCAGACACTCTAACTTAGAGAGAAGGTCTCAACAACAATAATAAAGGGATTATCAAAGACTTCTTAGAGAGTTAGAAGGAGAACTATCTGAAAGCTCACAGGTGAAACCAAACTCATCCTTTGTCTTGTTTTTTGTTTGTGCAATTTTCTGTGGATTATCAAGGCTAGTATTCAATTTTGTTGATTTGGTTTCTGTGATCTCTTTGGTCGTTGGTCTTTTTTTCCTGTGGGTCGATGTGATTTGATCAGTTCTTGTCTTCAAAGTGTTTGTTGAAATGCCTCAATGGGCGAATGTATCTGAGAATCCATTGATTGATTCTTATCAAATTTTTCTCCCAATGAATTAAAGACACCCTAGTTCCAGCTCCGAATTGGGATGCAGTAAACTTTACTTACGTTTCTTCGATGGATAGTTAAAACGTAATTATCATTGGGTTTGTGCTAGAGTTACTAAAGAGATGATCTTTCATTTCTCTTTTGAGTAGAATTTTGTGATAAAGGTTGGAACTCGCAACAACATTTTATCAGTCTGTGGGGTATTAATGTATCCTCCATTTTCATTTGGGGAAAGCAATTAACCAGTTAGTGTTGTTCTCGTTGATCCAGGAACTATGTCACGGTTTAGATCATTGTGGCAAGCTTCGGTGAATGCAACAAAGAAGGGTATCTTTTCCATTTTTCTTTGTGGCCTCATTTACAAACTTTCAACACTTCTTCTAACTGATTGCATTTCATTCTTGCTATTTGGTGTCATATAATTGTGAATGCACATTTATTCTTGTTCAAGTGCTTTTGATTGGAAAGTGAATATTTTGTTTCAAGACTAGTCTCTCTGGGGAAGAAATTTTCTCACCTTTCTGTTTTGCATCCTTTGAGCTAATCTCGAACATGGTTTCACAATGTACATACTGTAGCTTTAACGTGGGAACTCGAAGAATGGGTACCTCCTGTAGAGAAGTGTATATTCAAGTTCAGTTCAAAAGAAGACCTTAAGACATGGCACTTGTATTCTGATTCTGAATATGGAGGTACATAGAGCACACAGGTTGAGGGATCTGCTCATAATCATGTTTCAGATTCTATTGCCTGTTTTGATATCTTCTTTTGCTTCATATTAACAATTACTGAGATGAAAGAAGATTCTGAATATATTCTCTGCATAACAACTATTCATGTGATCTCCTCACTATACTGTTGATATTTTACCTTATAGGATTATCTTCGGCTTCGTTGGAAATTAAAGATGGAGGAAATGGATCAGATTGCACTGGTTAGTATGTTTTAATTAAGTTCCTTACTGTCTGTTGCATTCTTGTTTAGGTCTGATACTCGAAATACAGCTATGCTTTCCTGACTTGTACATATTGTGATGATTTGCTCATAACTGGAGACATGGGAACTTTATGAACTACTGAGCATGCTTTAACAAGAACAAAATATTTCTCTTGCAATAACTTAATCTGTTTAGGGTCTACAACGTACCTCTGCTGAGAGTATGAGATTTTTCATTTTTTGATGCACGTACCATAGTTTCTAGCTCTTACCATGATATTTTTTTCTGAAATTGTGTGGTGACTGTTTTCACTTAGGTGTTTTCTCTGGGAATCTCTCTACGGAAATGAGCGAAGGATCAAAATGGAAAATCAATCGAAGTGGTTTCTGTGGAATGCGGTCAAAGAAGGTAAAAACCAGAGCTTTTTTTGTTTTTATTTTTCATTACTAATCATCACATCATCAGTTGATTCAAACCAAAGATTTGAGTGAGTTTAAAGCACAAAGTACTTAACTAAACCATCTTCTCATTTCTGTAGTTTGATGGCTTTATTGATCTCGACGGGTATGATTCCATAGCCCTCAGGCTCAAAGGAGATGGAAGGTGCTATATCTCTACTGTGAGTATCATGCTTAACACTCACGTCCTCTTGCTCCAGATAAAACACAAGGGTTCAAGGAGCATTATTTTTTTCATCTAAAAAACTAAACTGCGATTCCAATTCAGATATATACCGAGAACTGGGTGAACTCGCCAGGACAAGCAGAAGATAACTCATGGCAGGCTTTTGTGTTTGCTCCAAAGGGAAACTGGTATACAGCTAAGGCAAGTCTCATACTTTCTTCTACAAAGCAGCTAGTTTCAAAAAGGGCTTTTGTAGTAAACCCCAAGTTAAGTTTGACATTTATTTTCATCTTCAGGTTCCTCTTACTCGCTACTTACCAACATGGAAAGGAAATGTGATAGATGCAGAAATGGAGATGAATCCAGGTCGTGTTGTAGGTATGTCTCTATCGGTTAACGCACAAGGAGGTGGTTTCATTGGAGCTAAATCTGGCGCAGGCGATTTCCGAGTAGAAATTGACTGGATCAACGCAGTGAGAATGCCATGAACATGAATGATGAAGAAAAAGCTTTCTGATGAACAATTTGAATAACCATAAAAAAATAAAGGTTGCTGTTCTCTGGTTTACTTGTAAAACCGGGATTTGGGTTAAGCCGGATCCAAGTCAAGTTGATGAACAATAACGCTTATAAATTGACTTTACAGCAAGTTGATGGACAAAGAATACTGCTTATGAAATTGACTGACAGCAGCAATTTGATTGGTTTTAATTGAAAAAAAGAAGAAAAGTGTCATTTGGGCCAAAATGGCAAGTTGCTCAATTTACCTTAAAGTGACCCAATATGTTCTTTTTTACTTTTTCTTTGACAGCAAGTGAATGATATACTATAATTACTAATTCTTGTTGTTGACAGAAAAAAAAAAAAAAAAATACTAATTCTTGAAAATGGTATAACAATACAAGTGTTTAAAAACTAACAAATAGAAACTTTCGAACCAAAATTTTAAAAAGTATTTGACCTCAGATAAGTTTCGTTTATACAGAAACCTTTATTTGAAATTTTAGTCAGTTTAGATCATTCATATAATTTTGTATAACGGAACTTTATATAAATGCATAATATTTTACTAATGTAGAAGCAAAAGTATATTCAAAAATTAGGTGGGAAAACATTTCTCATCTTGTTCTCATCAATTAAGGAGAAAATGTTTCTTCCTTGAAAAAACAATACCAAGTTATAATAAAATCTTCACGTATTTCATTCAAACAGAAATTAAAGTTAAAGTAACTTAACTACTCTCTCTTTATTTTTTCTTCCTCTAAAACTAAACTAGTCAAATCCTTTATGTATATTTATAATTTTGTATTTCTCTCAGCCTAAAAAAGGAAAAAACGTGACTACGTGAGTAATGTTTTCGTATTCTCTCACAAGATATAAAGAAAGAAAGAAAAACTAAAATAATAATACAGCTACTTTAGTCTTTAAAAAGTTATATAAAAAGAAGATGTCGAAAACGAGGATAAACAAAGTAAACAACTAGTTCAAGTGGCGAGTTTCTCGATCATTCTTTCATTGGTACCCCCAAATATCTCTATATAGTATATTACTTATTCAACAAACCACACAAAGGAAAAAAAAAAGCAAGCACGATACCCAAAATATCAAACACTGTCTTCTTCTCCCTTCTCTTCTCTTCTTCTCTTCTTCCACGTCTACCTACGCGTATATCCCACACATCTGATCTCTCTATACATACATACATCATCAACTTCGATCCAATAACATCCCCTCTCTTTGCTTCCAATAAAGTACTCCAAAGAAAGAAGACCTCTGTTCTTTTTTATAGTCTCTGTAACGTAACTCTCATCCTATATTAATAGATAGTATCATCAAATGGAGAAGGAAGACTTGTACGCTGTTATGGATTTGGACAACGAATGTACTCAAGGAGATCTCAAACTTTCTTACAAGAACCTTGTTCTGGTTTGGTTCTAATTCACATTCTCTCTTTATGCTTTTGCCTTTTTTCTTTTATGTTCTTGCATTTTCTTGAACAGTTTTTGGTTTTTTTTATATGATTAATAGAAATGGCATCCTGATCGGTTTCATGAAGAGTTAGAAAAAGAAGAAGCCAAGATGAAGTTCCAATCCATTCAACGAGCCTATTCTGGTAAACCATATATCAAAACCGGGTCTGATTGCTGTATCGGTCTATTCCGGTTTGTTAATCAAACTGTTGTGTTCACATACAGTTTTGTCGGATTCGAACAAGAGGCTGCTGTATGACGTCGGTGCGTATGATAGTGATGACGACGAAACTGTATGTTCTTTTACCTAAAAAATAATTTGAACTTAAAAAACGAATTTGCTTTTTTTCTTCTCAAAGGTAATAATGGAGTTATTGGCATTGTAGGGAATGGCTGATTTTATAAATGAGATGGTGACACTAATGGCTCAAACTCAATCTACGGTAAAACATACGATCATTACTTCGTTACTGTTTTACTAAGTTTTAGTACAAGTTACTTATCATGATGGTGATTGGTGATATTCCATAAATTTGGAACAGGGGGATGAAAGTTTAGAGGAATTTGAAGAGTTGTTTGAAGAGCTGTTAAAAGATGATCTCAGTGATCTATTCATCAAAACTAGTTCATCTTCGTATGCATCTACTACTTCGGTCCACAGCGATGATTTATTAAATGATGTTCCTGTTCGTGACAAAACTATTGTTGTATAAGTTCTAGTAAGGTATATAACTTCTTTTGTGTTTTCTATGTATGTATATATAAGAAAAAGCTTATAAATTGAAAAATGTATGTGTTAGTAGAATTTATTTCTAAGACTTATCATGAAACCGATGTTGACCATATAATTAATATTTGATGTTTTCATAAAAGGTAGTAGTAGTAAGGTACCGGTGGTCCATGGACGAGAGATTCCAAGTTGGCTGGCAATAGAAGATCTAAGAAGTAGAGCATTAAAAGTTTTAACATTCAATTTTGTTGTTGTTGTTGTTGTTGTTGGCACTTTGTTCATGTATTTTAGTTTATAGTTTTGTATGTATGTATAATTTTTGTCGTTGTGCTAAGACATGGTATGTATACAATATTGTTGAACCTTCTAGGTTATTTGAAATCTCTATTTTTTTTTCAGTTATGCAAAGGGTTGGTGAGAGAGAATGGGTTTATGTAAAACACAATGCATACAACAAGTGTACAACCTAATAAACAGCTGACAGGAATCTAGCATTTGATAAAGCTATAGATAGATACTCGTATTCATATTTCTTATATACTAAAAAAAATAAGGAACTTATGAATCTTCACGAACGCTCATGAGTGATATGTTGATCCAGCCTGTAAGAAAATAAAATAAAAAGTATATTGGAATTTGGTATCTTTCTTCGCCGTGAGGAATAGTTTTTGGAAGCAGGACCAAGTAAGTGACAAAGCTACTCACTCACAAGTTGCCATTTATCTTTAGTATTTGTTTAGGTAAATCGCAAATCTTCACTATCCTTCTTAGAACTGCGATTGCGAGTATTTTTTTTCCCTCCATGAAAACGAAATATGTAGTATCCTTACTTTCTTCGGGCATCATCTTAACCTAAAATTTTATAAAAAAAGATATCTAAATTGTGTAGAAGAAATTAATAATCATGTTATCTACTACTAACTAATACGGCAAATAAAATTACAAGTTGGATAACGTAATGTACATAAACATATTTATATTACAAGTTGAGAATAATTAGCGGCCTTTATACATTGAATATGTCGTCCATTACGTTATATTTGGTTTACATAAAAGTTGCTCAACTTGTAAATACCGCAGCCCCTTTTCTCGTAAAAAAAAAAAAGTTAAAAAATTTCTAGTTTGCATTTTTATGTTGTTCGTGTATCATCATCGGTATGACTCGAAGAAGAAAAAACAATTCAATGTCAAAGAAAAGGAAAGAACAGTTTTAGAGTAACAAAGAATATGGGCTCTTAAGACCCATTAATCATTTGTCCATGCTTCATCTTTTGCTTGCTGATTTACTTCCTGGCTCGGTCAAGGTTTTTGTTTTGTTGGTCACAAACGACGACGACACATCTCTGATTAGATAAAAATACTACGTTTTCTGCATTTAACCAACCAAACCAGTGTGAGTAAGATTTACAGTACCATCATAGTCACAAACATGTTTTGCAAGAAAAAAATAAAAACATTCGTTGATTTTGCTTCATTCTATCTTGATGTACTAATGCGTGTAAGTGTTCAGACAGCTCAAAATTATATCGAACCATGCATATATTTTCTTCAAAAGAAAACTCTATATATATAGCTGCACAAAAGTTACGTACGTAATCGGAGTCATACAGTATCAATTAAGTAGATGTGCTGATGTAACATGATTTGATTAAATCATAAGTAACAAACACAAATGATGTGGCCATGCATGTGTTATTGTTGGCAACACCTCAAACCATCCAAACATTGGTTAGTTGCCAAAATTAATCACATAATTTAATGAGATTTTGTACAAATATATTTCCTATACATTTAAGAACATTTATTATAAAAAATGAATGCTAGCTACATTAGCATGTTAGGGTTTGATTGGTGAAAAATACAAACAATTGGCCAGCAATTCTAATAATCCTCATTCACATTTTTCACCTAACTGATCAACACACATTATTAAATCTTTACTTGATTTTTATCATAAAATACTGATGCTTCCAAAAAATCTTCTTTGAGAAAGTGGTTAGATCACAAACCTATAATTGTAAAACCGATAATTTTTGACTATCTCATAAAGTGTTAATTACAAGTTCTAAAATGGTAAAAAAAATAAAATGGTTAAATCCCTTTTTTTAGTGTTAGAACCTCTTCTTTGGGTGAAAATATTTAACCCTTAAAGTGATGTTTACTTATTAGCTTGAGAGCCTTCGACTAGTAGCATTGACTTCGTTTACCCATATTAAGTTACGAGATTACCCTCATCCTGAACCGGGCCAATGTATACCCAAATGGTGACAAACCGGTAGCACAGAGAAGAAATACGGTTTAATAAGAACAAAGAAGACAGAGTAACAGAGGGAGGAGTCGATATCTGGATTTTTGTTTGTCTCGGTTCAGATATTAAACAGGTGTAAGATTTCGAGGGTATTTTGGTATATTCAGCATTGAGGCAGTATCTTGTTTTTTCTTTTCATTTTCCAAATCGAAGACGACATTCGAAGAGAAAGAAGCTGTCTGAATAAGGAAACTCTCTCTCTCTCTCTCTCTCTCTCTCTCTCTCTCTCTCCCTCCCTAAACACGCTCCGCATATTATTCTCTCTCTAAAGACAGTGTCTTTTTTGTACGTTTGAGAGAGAGAGAGAGTGTGCGTGAGTGTGTTTGGTTTTGAGCTTGAATATAAAGGAGACAGGAGCAAAATCTTTAGTGTGGGAGAATAAAAAAAGGAAAGATTTTGCATTTTTTTTATTTGGAGCAAAACCAGAAGTGAAGTGACGACATATGTACTCTGACCTCTCTTAGGGTTCTTCTTCTTCTTCGAGACGTCTCTAGTGCCGATTTAGAACTTCGATTAAGCTAAGAACTACTGAGAATTTGAAAGTTCCCAGCTCAATGCTGGAGATCGGCTAGGAGGATCTTGGTGGTATGTTCTTTGATGAAACCTGCATTTTTCTCGAGTGTCGTGTATATTGCATGATTTTAAGTTTTGGGTGTTTTGTTTTCAAGTTGGGATTTTTATGGTTCGGTTTTTATACTTAGTAGTGGTGGAATCAGATCTGAGAAGCATCTGTTGTTTCTGGATGACTAGATCCTCGATTTCTCTGTTTTTTATGATCTGTGTTTTGTCTTCCCTTTTTTGTTCTTTTTTTTTTCTTTTCGGGATTCATTATCTCTGATTGAAGTTTATATTCCGGTTTTGTCAACAAGTTGTTTTTTTTTTTTAATCTATGAGTTAAAAGTTTCTATTATTGTTTTTTTTTTCTCAGGTTTCTTGGCATGGATTTGAAATTGTTCAGTTGAATTCTGTTAAAATCTCAGTGTGATATCTCTGTGGGTTTTTGTGAAAATGAGGTCAGATACGGTTCTTGATTATGCGGTATTCGAATTGTCGCCAAAGCATTCACGGTGAGTATATGTTTCTTTCTTTTAGAGTGATCCTGATATATCCAGTTTGTTCTTTATAAATAAGTGGAGTGTTTCTTTTTGACAGATGTGAACTGTTTGTATCAAGCAACGAAGAGACAGAGAAGCTTGCTTCGGGGTTGATTGAACCCTTTTTGAATCATTTAAAAGTTCTTGAAGCACAAGCTTCACCTGTTGTTCAATCCTCTATTAGATTGGAGGTTGAGAAAAGCAACACTTGGTTCACTAAAAAAACATTAGAAAGGTTTATAACTGAGGATTTAAACATCATTTTTTGTTTATTTTCTTGCAGCTTTTTTTGGTATACTAATATATTCATCCACCATTTGTCTCTCTCAGATTTGTTCAGTTTGTTAATAGTCCAGAAGTTCTGAGAAAGGTCAATACAGATTATTCCGAGATGTCGCAGTTAGAAGCAGCTCGGACATTATATTCGCAGGTTGTAAGCACTGTTTTGAAACTTAACTTCTGTTGAGATTCTTGACCGACCTTTACTAAATTTTGTTCTTGTCATGTTTGGTTCTTGAAGCGAAGCGAAGACTCAAAGTCTGGTGCATCAGGTGTGTTTGATTTCACTGTTGTTACTATGCTTGTATGGTTTTTTTTTTGTTATTTTTGCAACTCCGGAGAACATTGATCGTGAATTTGAATCCTATTTTCTTTGGTTTCTCAGATGATGGAGCCGCAGCAGATGCCACAAAGTAAAGCTTCTCTGCCTTTATTAGGTTCTTTGTGTGTTCAAAGAGATTTTTATTAATTACTTTTTTTCTTCTCTATATTCAGGAAGGAACTCTTAAGGGCTATAGACTTAAGACTTGAAGCTATTAAAAAGGACTTAACAATGTCCATTTCTCATGCATCAGCTTGCGGTTTCAACCCTCATACTGTTTCCGAACTCCAACAATTTGCTGATAAATTTGGTGCACATTATTTGGGGTAAGCCTTTAGTTGTTTTCTACTTTTCATTTGACTGAACCGTTCTTTCATGTTTTCTTGTTTGATCCCGTTGGAATATGTATTTCAGTGAAGCATGCAGCAAATATATCTCACTATGGAAGAAAAGGCCAGACTTAATCGATATGAAGCACTCAAATAATGTGGCTAGTGTTGATAATGTCAGTATTGAAAAAGATGGCACGCGCCAGAAGCAATATGCGGTAGATGAAACAGAACATCAAACGCAACAGTGTGCTACTACAAGTACCAAAAGGAATGAAGAGGAGAAGACTGTTGAGAGTTTGGATGTAACCTCTTCTACAGCTAAGACCAGTCAACACACAAGACGACTCAGTGTGCAAGATAGGATTAACCTCTTTGAAAACAAACAAAAGGAGAACTCAAACTCTGGGGGATGCAAACCTGTAGCTGTTACTAAATCCACAGAGCTCAGGAGATTCTCCTCGGATCTTACTTCCTCTGAGAAACCTCTCCTGAGAAGAAGCAGTCTTTTGAGTGACATGAGCATTGATTTGGCATCAGAAAAGAAGTTGGAGAGTTTCCTAGGGGATCCCTCTTCTACTTCTTCGTCTGTTCCTCATACCATAGCTCTAACTGATTCCAGTGAAAGCGTTAAAAAGGATGATGATGTCAAATATGAGCTGAAGAGTGACTCTGAAAAAGTTGGTGATGAAGAAGCTTCTCAAGACAGAGTCATGAGTCCCAAAACTGTCACTGAAAAGAGTTTAGATCCAAGAGTTGAAGGAACTTCTGATGCTCAGTCCAGATCAGTTATTGATTTGAATGAGCCTTCTGCTTCACAAAACCAGACTGATAGTCATGGCGGGAGGCTTCAGAATGTCAAAGCCAAGAATGTATCACAATCATCAGCCATGTTTCCTGCTCGTCATACACGATCTCGGTCAGCCCATATAGAAGCTAATTTTCAGGGGGATTTGGCTTCTCAACCACAGTCTAGATCTTCTTTTGGCAGGATCAAGAAGAAAGAAGTGGTTTCATCAGATGAACAACCAGTATTACCTCAGAAACCCCAATTCAATGTGAGGGATGGTCCTGACGATGAGGAGGGCAGGCAGGTTCGAGGTAACAGTAATAGGTTTCCAACTGCATCGGTGGATCAAACACAAAGGACAAGACTGTCAAAGGAAATTCCGGGGGCTAATGATGAGCTGAAAATGAAGGCAAATGAGCTTGAAAAGCTTTTTGCTGAGCATCAACTCCGGGTTCCAGGGGATCAGTCAAGTTCTTCCAGACGTGGTAAGCCAAGTGAAATCCAAGTTGCAGAGCCAGAGCCATCTCATTCTATAGGGGCTGCAGACAAAAGGCTTTCTCTTGGTGGTGGTTCTGGTGATCTTTCAAAGCTCATGACTCCCTTGGTTGGTGAAAAAGACAAAGGGGATGTATTGCGAAGGAATTTTTCGGACCTTAGTCTTATGGATGATTCTAAAGGAAAGTTTTATGAGAAGTATATGAAGAAAAGGGATGCCAAACTGAGAGAAGAATGGAGTTTAAAAAAAGGTGAGAAGGAAACAAAACTGAAGTCGATGCAAGAGGCTCTTGAGCAAAGTAGAACCGAGATGAAGGCTAAGTTTTCTGCTTCTTCTTCTGAGAGACAAGATTCACTTTCGAGTACTCGTCAGCGGGCAGAGAAATTCAGGTCTTTAAACTCTCGGTCAAGTATGAAAAAGTACCAGGTAGTGTAGCATTAAGTCCATTAGAAATGTTCTTCTTCTGTTTCTGAATTGTTAAAACTTGTTTTTGATGAGACAGTGTTTTTGGCAGCATCCTATAAACTCATTTCAGAACGAAGAAGATGAAGATTGCTCTGAACAGAAACCTCGGGCGAAAGATAAAGCAGCCAGTGGACAACAACAAGCAGTTGGCAACATTGCTTCTCGGAGCTCCCAAGCTAAAAAGCCTAACAGGAACATGTCTTCTTCTATTACCCCGCGAACTGCAGCATCGGTTCCAAAACCATCAGGTAAAGCTTCAAACACCTCTTCTGGGAGGCGAAGATCAGAGAAGTCACTTGCACAATCTGTTCCCAATTTTTCTGAACTTATAAAGGAAAACACGAAACCATCTTCTTTAGCTGTCAAAACTACTATGCGATCACAGGTGAGAAGTAGTGTTCGCACCAAGAATGTCAAGGAAGATACACCTCTCCAAAGACCTCGATCATTAAGGAAAAGCTCCTCTGGGAGCATAGACTTCACGGAGTTGCCCACTCTCTGCTCCGATGACATGATGGCCTCTCTAAGAGTGAACTCTGATATATCTGAGAATCTGAGAAATGTAGAATATGATGAGCCTGAAGCTGAGGCAGAAGAGGTCTCGGAGAATGCTGTTAGAGAAGATGAAGAAGAGGAAGAAGTGGAAGAACTTGGTTTTGAGGATGAAAATCCGACACTAAGCGAGGTGTATGAGAAAGTTGATAATTCAGGAGATGATAATTGTAGTTTCTTACCTGCCACTGTCCCTCCGAAAGTACTTACTGCTACCTCATTAATGGACTCACCCGGGGAAAGTCCTCTTTCTTGGAACGCAAACCTACAACACTCATTCAGCTATCCTCATGAGCACTCGTCTGATGTTGATGCTTCTGCGGATTCTCCCATGGGAAGCCCTGCTTCGTGGAGTTCTCGGATGAGAAAGAAATGGGGAACAGCTCAGAGTCCTGTTACCGTTGCTGCTGCTAATAATTCGTCTCAGTTCCAGTCAAAGAAGGATATAAGTAAAGGGTTTAAACGGTTGCTAAAGTTTGGAAGAAAAAGCCGTGGTGCAGAAAGCTTGATGATGGATTGGGTATCTGTAACGACTTCTGAAGGAGATGATGAGGTTGAAGATAGGAGAGACCTTGCGGACCGATCATCAGAGGATTTAAGAAAGTCGAGAATGGGATCTCTACAAAGTCATCTCTCTGAGGATGGATTTCATGAGGGCGACTTCCCTGAACAAGGTAATTCTAATAATGTTGCTTTCTTCTGCTCTTAGTTTAATGCTATCGCGAGTTCTTTATGTATTTGGTTGTTTCTCGCGTTTCTTCTTCAAGCTTCCAATATCTCTGTATCCGAGTTAAAAGATGATCATCAAATGTCTGGAAGCAACTTCAAAGGTCCTTTTCTTTGCCTATTCACTCATGCAGAATGCAATATTTCTTCATATGATCTTCTTTTGAATTTTATTTACTTCTTCTTTACAGCGCAAAAGTCGTTCTTCTCGCTCTCCACATTCCGGGGGAAAGGAAATGATTCAAAGCCAAGATAAAGAGAAAGAAATAAATCTTGGTCGGATTTGATTGCGCAGGTAAAGAGAGAAAACAGACACGATTCTTTTGGCGGTAAAACAAAATTTCTGGTACCATAACGCAGTCTCGGGCACAGACTTCAGAGACGGGTCTTTTTTCCATCAGCCAGCTTAGTAATTTTGTTGATTGTTTGTGTACATCTTTGTTTAGCGAACAAGATTTATCCAAATTTTTGTATCGACATTGTGATATTGGCAATTTTGAGTCCAATTTGTTTCTGGCCTTTATGAGATCCTAACAAATTATTTAGATGCGCATGTCAACATAATTTGAGAGCAAGTATCCACGAAACCTCCTTTTATCTATAAATAGTGTACAGCACAAGGGTTGCAGTAACAAGGCGCGACGAATGAACAACAAAATAGATATTGTTATTGTTTTATACAAAATTCTCCAAATAGCCTGAAGCCGACACTGGTTACATATCGATATCGACAACCTAATAATAATGGCTCTTTTATATGCAGAGCACAATAGATTCTTTACTTTCTCTACAGGCCTTGGTCATGAATCTTAATTTAATTTCAAAAGCTTCATGTACAAGCAAAACGTAAAACGCTGAACTAAATACCCTTTATCTGCTTGTCCCTAAGTTAGATTACAACTCATGTTGTGAAGCAAGGGTTCCTGAAGATAAATAATCTTTTACCCTAATCATAGTTTCTTGATTAGGAATTATTACCAGCAGAGTTGTTTTTGGGACCTTGTAGCTCCATCGGAGAATTGGTGATGCTGCCAACAGATCCCATTGTCTGAGAACTTAGCTGTGGGCTCGCTGGACAAGCCTCGAGGTTGCTTGTGCTCATGGGATGCATTGTACCCGAGCTTATCTGAGGACTCATAGGAGTTCTTTGGTTCATTTGCTGGGGACTCATTGGAGTTCTCTGACTCATTTGCTGGGGACTGGACTGTTGTAGCTGCTGGCTTATTCCAGCTGATGGCGAACCTACTTGGGGTGGTGATAGCACAGACTGAAGAGGGGAACCTGTCGCCTGCTGCTGCGGCTGCTGCTGCTGTGCTTGTTGAGGCAGTTCATGTTGTTGTAGCTGCTGCTGCGGAGACTGAGCTAGCTGCTGAGATGGCTGAGACATAGGCTGCTGTAACTGTTGCTGATGCTGCAACTGCTGTTGTTGAGGTTGCTGCTGGATTTGTTGCTGCTGCTGGAGTTGCTGTTGATTCATGTAAAGATTCATTCCAGGCATCAGCTTAGGTGGGCCCATGTTACCCATAGCAGCAGCTCGCTGCAGGTTAGCTCGGTTTAATGAATTCTGATCCAACATGGAAAGACCAGCTGAACTGGGGTGCATCTGCCTCGCACCTGACACGCCACTTATCCCGGCTTGGGGAGCCCCCATAACACCTCCTCTATTTGTCATGTTCATCCTAAGCTGTGTAAACAGAGCGTTTTGCTGTGGTGTTAATGCACCAGATCGGAGTTGCTGGCTTATAGCATTCAAATTTGATGCTGGATTCAGATTCATTGGGTTCTGTCCCATATTTCCGATGCCAGGGACAGACATTGATGATGAAATTCCAGTTCCCCCAATCCCTCTTCCTGCCATATTTAATTGGTTGCCTAAAGCTCCGAGCCCAGCAATACTGTTTCCCATGCTTCCCATACCCATCATGCCTGATCCTAGCCCCATCATAATCTTCTTCTGCATCGCCGCTTGCTGCTGCTGCTGTAACATCTGCAGTTGGAGAGGCGAATACTTGTTGGCCATCTGACCACCCGGTTGCATAGCAGAGCTCTGGCTCATTGAGTTGATGGCTGATAGCGGATTTGTAGGCAGTATCATGGATGGTCTCTGCATTTGTGGATGCTGTTGTTGTGTAAACATGGACTGTTGATTTTTCTGCTGTGAATGTGATGACAGTAATGCTGACTGTTGTGGGTCAAGCTGTTGTGGTTGCATAGGCATGGAGACACCAGACAACAGTCCTTGAGACATTTGCAAGGCTTGAGAATTTGCTGGAGGAAGCATCCTTGCATTTCCAAGAATATTCTGGGTTGAGTTAACAGGTGCACTTCCAGCATTCCCCTGTTTCGATGCCTCACCAGACGCTTGTCCAGCAACTGCATCTCCATACTGTTGCATATCGTTTGCAGAGTAACCTCTTGGATAACCACCTGCAGTATTTGGTTGGCTTCCGATTGGGCCAGTATCCCCATGGTTTGGCTTTGCCAGAATATGTTCTTCCATGATGTATCCTTCACTGGCCATCTGCATAAGCATATAAATCAATCTGTAAGTAGCTGAGCCATAGAACCAAGAACTTGATGTAATTGATTCAGAATTCGAGATATACCAGTAATTTAAATTGAGCTGCAAGTAGATCGGCGATGTGCTGTGACAAGGTGACAAATAAGCAAGTCAGCATAAATACCAGAAAATAAGTGGTGTATATATATGATAATAGTCAATCATCCATTGTCCACCAACACCCCCTTTCCACCGCATGGACGAGAAGGAAAAACAAGCAGAAGCAACTAACAAGAGAGAAGTATCCATAGAACAACCAACCATATTCATAATTACATAAAGCATTCACAAACGAGATATAAACCCCTAGATCATGACCCATCAACCAATAAAAATTACTGAATGTGGACTCAGCATTACATTACATGTTAGTGCATGCAAGTTGAAGAGATATTTTTGATCAAAATGGAATGAGTCGATAATAGTCAAATTTTCTGTGAACTTACTGTATTGGGCAACGCTAAGAAAAAATCTTCAGCCAAAGAAACATCACCATCATCTATGTCTCCTTGATACCATGCTACTGTCCCATCGACGGACTTCTCTGACATAACAAGTTTTGTTCTTATTTTAGGGACGAAGGAAGAGACAGTACCTGAAATGATACTGGAGTCAGAGTCAATTACATAGAGAAATCTACTAATCGACAGATATCAAGTTGAAACAGAAAACAGACCTTGCATTACACGTTCCATCTTAGCAAAGTTCATGACTCTCTTCTTGCATGTATTCATACTGCCACCAAAAATAGATTTTGATAATGCTTTGTCCTCGTCTTTGAAGTCCTCTTCGTTAGACAGGTTCGATAAACAATTCGCCAGGGACTGCTTAGCATACACACGAGGTCTTCGTGAGTACTCATCCACCTTATGCTTTTTGCAGTTTAGTTGGTACCTAAAAATGGAAGACGAAACTGGATCAACCAACAAATGAAATTTATAGAATACAGCATCAAAAACATGTTCATGCACCAACAAAATTTATTTGTACAAATGCAATTAGATAAGGAGTGGTACAATTCCAACAATGCTCTAGTGTAAAACCAAAATCAGAATTTGGAGAAGTATCACATAAGTGAAAGTAAAAATCATAAAAAAAGAATATGACGGGAATAACCTCAACAAAACAGGCTTCATAAAATTCATACCTTGCAGCAACTCGTTCAATCTTTGAAAATCTATCTAGGATTGCATGATCGCCCGAAGTTTGGGGTCCTACTGCAGGGCTCCTTGCATTAACTGGGACACTCACAGTATTGACACTAACAGGAGAACCAACAGTGCTCATAACTTGCGTCTTAGGAAGAGAATTTGTCCTCCGTTTTGCAGCCATTTGGGTTTGGTGTTGTCTTTGCTGCATAGCATCATTAGCACTAGAACCCACAGACTGAGTAGCACCAATAGCAGGAATAGAAGTGACAGCCTTGTCCTTTTGAGCTGCTGCAACTGCTCCATAGTGGTTCCCCATTGAACCACCAGAAAACTCACCAGACTTCGATGAATGTGGGGACTGTGGTGGAGCACCTGCCGATAATCGAGGACTTTGAGCCGATATTCTTCTACTATATTGTTCTTCCTTTCTTGGGTCTTTTTCAATCTGCTGACCAGGATTAACATTCCATGATGTTTGAGGAAAATTTGATCTCATGAATGCGTTATGGGGCATCCTTGACTGAATACGCGGATCCAATTCATTTGCATCACTTCCCACCCCCGGCATATTGTTTCGCATGCTACCATCAATTTTACCAGTCTCAAATGGCTCTTCTTTTGATGTGTATCGCATTGTCCCCTGTTGTGAAGCTGGGAATTGCATGGGACCACCTTCCTGGTTCATAACCCCTTCCATTTGCTGTGGAGAAAACCTCGCGATATTTGTATTTGGATACTGAATACTTCTGCCTAGCATGTCTTGCTGTTGTAGAAGCGTATTTTTCCAATTCGTATCGGTTCCATGAAGGCCATCCATGCGTTGCCCTAATTGTTGATGTGGAACCCCATCAGGGCCCATGTGTGAAACCCTTGTCCGTTTATTCAAACCAGGCATAGAAGAGATTTGTCCTTCTTGACTTTCCCTCTTTCTTTGAAAAGATGTACCGGGGTTCATACTATCAGAGCCATAAGACATCATCGCATCCAGTCCTCCAGGTGATGCTCCAGAGACACTGACAGAATTTGATCCCTGATCCTGCATGTTTCTTATATTTCCAGTTCCCAGGTACCTTTGTTGTTGAGGTGGTATCAAGGCCATAGAGGAATTTGGAGTATCATGCAAGGGCTGAGTTCTTAAACCCGTCAGCATATTAGTACCAGGATTTTGAATAGCCTGGTTGTTATGGGTTTGCTGCATTATCAAATGCCCCGGCATATTTCCTCGCTCCGAACTTTCAGGAAGCCGATCAATGCAAACCTTTTTCCCATGCATCTTGTTCTGAGACATGACCGTCACTTCTGCCATTTGCCTTAATCTCTTTTTCCGCAAAGTAGAAAGAGACAAATCGAGCTACGGGGTAGAAAAAACTATTAGACATTATCAAAGCAACTGAGAAGAGAAAATACAAGGAGTCTTTTGAATGAGATATTACCTTGGCAGAGACAGGGTTCTTACTCAGCCTATCAAGTCTGGGTACAGGATCCAGACAGAGTTCAGGTTGTAGGGCTTTCAATATTCTGGACTCCACTTCCTGTGTTGATGCAAGGATCAGTACAGAAGATAATACTTTCAGTGTTAATATATATGACATATAATCCAAGAGCTACAGTGATTAGTTGATTACCATGAGATCACCATATGTCCATGAGTTGTCTGACATGGATGGAATATCTTTTACCACATTCTCAAGTGACATCTTAAGACGCAATTTATTTACTACAGGAGAGACTTGATCTGGGGTATGTTTCCGATAGTCATGCACCTACAATAGTACATATGTAACAAAAAAGTGAAAAGAAAGCATGATGACATAAGATGATACTTGAGAAGTCAATTAGAGGAATATTAAAACTACTCTATTTTATGTTTACTTCTGGTTATTAGTCCAACGTGTCTCAAAAAACACCTATGAGTTAGGTAGTTGAGCTCCAGTGCAATTATAACATGATAAGTGTAGATACTTTTGTTCAAGTAAAGTTATAGAGATTGTTATGAATTTTAAATAAGTTTGGACTGGTTTCAAAAACTTATGGAAGGCAATGCAATAATTAGAAACTATTTTGTCTTAGTTTTTATACTAGATGGCAGATCATGAAAGGCTTTATCGAAATAAAATGCAACAGATAACTCACCTCACATATAACCACCCCGTCCACAAATTTGCAAGGTATATCTTCCAAAATGTCACCAGGAAGTCTGCCAGCCTCAATAGCCTATCAGAGAAATTAAAGACATTTACTCAGTGGAGCGATACCTCAAAAATAAATTGACAAAATCGAAGTAGGGATAAGTTGGGTTGAACAAGTGAAAGAACAAACATCATCTTCACATCTACTTATTCTAAGTACATTGAATTCATTCACCAAAACTTTGATTATATGTTCGTTCACATAAAAAAATAACATAGTTCTTATTATTTATTTTTCGACATGCAACTTATTTACCGAAAGTAGACTCTCTGCTGCCCTATCATACGGTTGTAAGACCTTTGGAACATCTCGAAAGGATGTCTGTTGCACAGCCTGCTTGAGAAAAATGAATAATTGTTAGATGTGAAGGGTTTAAAACCAAATACAAGAAACTAGAAGATACATTTATATAAATTCTCAGGACATGAAGTTCTACTACATACCTCAGAAGGTTTTCCTACAGAGTACCCATTTGGATAGAGGCTCAATGTGAAGGAAACTTCATGCTCTGCAGAGAAATCAAATACACTCGATATAACATAGCTCAAACTAGCAAAACATAAGGGGTCGAAATGGATGAGATGCTAACCAGGAGATATATCAGGCAAAGATGACTTTGAAAACCCGGAAACATCACCAGCATTGCGTTCATCAATGCCCTGAATCATTCATAAAAAAAATTGGTAATCAATACCAAAATAAGTGACTTTTTAATTAAATGAAATCAACTTATTCATCAGATCCATCACTCACAGTGATATAAGAATATGACTTCACCACCGAAATGTTCTAAAGTCGGATTTCACGATAATTTCAAATTTTCCAAACTAGAATTTTATTTAGGGAAACGGATAATTACAGATTATTCCGGTAGTAAATAGTTTAGTAAAATTCTCAGTAAATTACCTTTGTTTTCCCAGATAGAACGATTGCTTTCGAATTCAGCTCTTCTGGAGACTCAGGAGTAGCCGAGTCAGTGACAATCTTAGGCCGGAACTTTCTACCAACCTTGGATATCTTAAACGAGACACCCATGGCGAACTCTCTCTAGAGATCAAGCTCAAACCCAGTCTGGGTACTGCTACTACTCCAGCCTAAAAGAATGATACAAAAATGAGCCGAGACCATAAAAATTGAAGATAATATAATCTAAGAAACAACGAATCAAGAAATTGAAACCTTATGAGCTCGTTCCAGAGAAGATCATTAAAGCAACAGCTCCAATTGCGTTTGAATCGGATAGAAAAGAGCAATCAAATAGGTTCTAAGGATCGAGCAATGGAGAATTCACAAACACAGGTGGGAAATTTTTGAAGTAGATGAGATCGAAGAAATGATATGTTAGGGTTCTTCCTTACTTCAATGTAGCAAAAAAAGAAATTTTCTTTTTCGGTGTTGCTGGGCGAGTTTGTGTGCACACTTGGATTTCGGTTAAAGACAAACCGGAAACAACCAGTAATTTCGATTTAATTATAACCAGCGGTTAATCATATTTGGGAGGGCAAAATCGACTTTAATGCAGTTAGGGTTTTGCGTGATTTTCATCCTTCACCCTTATAAGCAGGACCTTGAGTTTCCTCGCCTCCTCCTGTGTGATTTATAAAGCTGAAGCTTATCTCGGCGATTGAGTCCCGGAGAAGCAGAAGAAGAAGAAGAGATATACGAGAATGGCGACCAATGGATCTGCTAGCTCAGCGCAGCTCTCCCAGAAGGAAGCTGACATCAGGATGATGTGTGCCGCTGAGGTTCATCTCGGAACCAAGAATTGCAATTACCAGATGGAAAGATACGTCTTCAAGAGACGCAACGACGGTATATATCTCGTGTTTTTATATCAGTCTCTTGTATTTGCAATATAGATGATTTTATAGTGTTGAGATTGTGGATTCATTTGTATGTTTATGTGTCTCTTGGTTTTGGTTTTCACTTGTTTATGATCTCTCTGCTGCTTTGTTTTAGATGGGTTTTGGATTTATTTGTCGTTTTAAGTACTTCACAGTTTTATCTACATAGTAGAGTTTGAGACGATGGATCTAAACAGAGGCTCATTTGAAATGCTCAGACTCTGAGACTAGCTTCATTTCATCACTCTCTTTTCTCTGCATTTGCCTTATATAACAAACAATAGTCTTGTTTTTGTGTCGTCTGTGGCGTGCTTGTCTACTTTAGTTTGTCATGAAGAGATGAGCAAGGGTTTCGGGTTTCATTTGGTTTATTTTGAATTTGTGTATGTTGATGGTAAATTTAACCTTTAAAAAACTGTTTGGGGTTTGAATGAGTTCGCTGACGTTTAGAGATTGTATGGGTGCAAGTGTCTATTTTTGCTTATACATTTCTGCTGCTTTCTAAACTCTGTAGTGCGAAATGAAGAGGTTGAAACTTAGTATTTTTTTGAAATTTTTGTCCTTCTCAGGTATTTACATCTTCAACCTTGGCAAAACATGGGAGAAGCTCCAGATGGCTGCCCGAGTTATTGTTGCCATTGAAAACCCACAGGACATCATTGTTCAGTCTGCTAGGCCCTATGGTCAGAGAGCTGTCCTGAAGTTTGCTCAATACACTGGAGCCAATGCCATTGCTGGAAGGCACACTCCTGGTACCTTCACCAATCAGATGCAAACATCCTTCAGTGAGCCAAGGCTTCTGATTCTTACTGACCCGAGAACTGACCACCAGGTAAAACTCTTCTTTAGATTTTGTACCTATGTCTTTTTCTTACTACCAGTGATGGTTTTGTATTGATTTTGATTAATATCTTGTCTTGCAGCCAATCAAGGAAGGTGCTTTGGGAAACATTCCCATCATTGCTTTCTGTGACACAGACTCTCCAATGAGATTTGTTGACATTGGTATCCCTGCCAACAACAAGGGAAAGCACAGCATTGGGTGTCTCTTCTGGCTTCTTGCTCGCATGGTCCTTCAGATGCGTGGAACTATTCGTGCCGGACAGAAGTGGGATGTCATGGTAAGAGGGATAAATCATTTTTGGATCTCTCTGTGTTATTACAAAGTCAACAGTTCAGTTTAACTTATTTTTTTGTCTACTGACTGCTTCATATTTTGTGTTGTTGTACAGGTTGACCTGTTCTTTTACAGGGAGCCTGAGGAGGCTAAGCCAGATGATGAAGATGAAGCTGCCCCTCCCACTGATTTTGGACTCCCTGCTCCAGAATACGGAATGGCTGGTGGAGACCAATGGACCACCGCTCAGATCCCTGATGGTGCATGGCCAGGAGAAGCTCAGGCGCCAATCGCTGCTGCACCTGCTGCTTCTTGGAGTGACTCTGCTGGTGAGTTTTTGTCAGATATAACTAGAAACACTATTCTTGTTCTGGATCTCTCAACACACGATCTTGGTTTCTAATGCTTTCTCCTTGGGTTTTCTTTTTTTGCTTTTCCAGCTCCAGCAGCAGAAGGTGGATGGGACACTGCCGCACCACCCCAAGGTGCTCCAGCTGCTGGTTGGGAATAAAGTTGATAGCCTTGCTTTAATGGTTATAGACATGCTTTTTTGTTACTGTCGGGATTGAAGAGTTATCGTAACTGTTTTTCTTCTCACTTGTTTCTCTTAAGACCCTTAGAGTATTCTGTTTTGCACTTCTTTTTTTTGTTTTGAATCAAAATTTCTACTATATTATCCCTTGCGCTTTATCAAAAATATGAATTGATATTGTGGTTCATCACACAATTCTCTCTACATCTTGTTGCATGGAAACTCTTGAAAATGCAAAACCCACATTAAAGAAGTAGAAAACAATGCGAAGTTGTACTTTTCGTATTGATAAATTGAAGATACTTTGCATGTAGTGATTGCTACACAGCAAGAATTCATGTCTTTTTGTGCCAGAGAATTGTTTATGACCAAAGATCTTTGTTATTGTCTCCATCAAAGAGACTACTCAGAGATGTTTTGGAATCACAATTTCCCTCCATAATTGAGATCTGCGAGAGACATTTCGGTCTGGTTCTCGAAAGCTCGAAACTCTTCCGAAAGCAGAGCTTAACGTTGCCTTCTTCTTCTTTTGGAGGAGGTTGTAAAAGCTTTCTTTGTGAAAATTGGTGGAGTAATAGATTTTAGATACAATTGGCTACGAAATCCATTGACGACTGTTTTAATTAAATTTTGTGTAGAAAAATTGCAGACTAAACTTTTTTGATGCAAATTACAGAAATACTCTTAAATAAAACAAATGAATAAATCGTTTCAAAAAGAAAATTATTAGAAAACAATACAATCTAATTTTATTATATCATTTGGATTACTTTTGTATTTATATAATATAATATTAGAAATAAAAAGTTATGTGAGGATATAAAAGATGTTAAAAATATTACTTTGTAATGAATATTAATTTTTGGACAATTTGGAATCAAGGTTTCAAATTGCATTATATTCTTTTACTCTCCTTTCTATGGTGAAAATAGGAAGTTACAGAAGATAGTCTTGATATTACAGAATATACAAAACACATCATAGAAGAAAATAACACGATTTAAAGGGTCAATCTCGATATTGACAAGAGTGAGGGATGAACGATAATTCAACCTTTATTTTTTTTTAAAAAGAAACTTGCTAAGTTTCAGGACCAAAGATCTATGTTGTTGTCTCCACCTAAGAGACTACTCAGAGATGTCAAGGAATCACAACCTCCCTCCATAAACGGAATCTGCGAGAAACATTCAGTCTGGTTCTCGAAAGCTAGAAGCTCTTCTGAAAGCAGAGTAGCATTAACGTTGCCTTCTTCTTCACTACCATTAGTTTCCTGTTTTTTCTTCGCATCTCCCATGATGACATCTTCGAGCCATTGTGTATCGATCAGAAGTGTGTCAGCATTATTCTCCTCCCACAAGAAATCAGTATGGCTACTACTAGGCACCGAGCTAGCCACGGCCAATCCAAGATCAGCCCCATGCTTCTTCTCTTCTATCAGTTGCACAGTCTTGGCAACATCTTTGCGTTTCTTGAAGGATTCGTTAGGGAAATTGAGCTTAGCTTTGGCTCCTCGGATTCTCTTAGCTTCAAGATCATAAGCTCTAGCAGCATCTTCAGCTGTGTTGAAAGTCCCGAGCCAAACTCGAACTCCTTTGATTGGATCACGAATCTCAGCTGCCCATCTCCCCCAAGGTCGTCTTCTTATTCCTCTGTACCGACTGCTCTGTTTCTTCCTCCCATCTAAAGCTGAGCCTATATCCATGGATACAAAAAAAGTTCAGATCTTTGAGACCATATTGAACAACGAAGCTATGAATACAAACAAAACAAGAGAATCATAACTCACCTGATGCACGTTTACGAGTCGAAGACAAGTCTGGCTCGAATTCTTCGAAATCTCCGTTGAAATCATCGATTGAGCAATCAAAGACAGCCTTACTTGTCCAAGAAGACTTCCTACCTCTCCCAGTATTGTCCTGATCCGACCGAGACGGCGTTATGTAATCGGAAATTACAGCTCCTCCGCACATTTTTTTTTTTTTTTCTCAAAAAGGTGTAAATAATAAAGTTTTGTGTTCAAAGTAGAATCTTTTTGCTTTGTGTGTGTTTCTCATTGTTGCTCTGTATCACTAACTCTTATATGCAAAACAAAAAAGACTAACGCGTTATGACAATTGGGTCTAGTGGGTATTAGTTAATTTTTTACTGTTTGCTTTGTTTTGCCTTTGGCCTTTGCCATAGGTTAATTTTTTTTTTTATTATATGTCTTTGTTAATGATATGCATTTAGCTAAGTTATGAATATTATGACTCAGTTTCTTAAATTTAACATGCGATCTTATCCTCTTCATTTTTTCTTTTCTTGGGGGTAACTCCAATCTTATCTTTTCACTAATATCTTTTACGTAAATGAATCATATATTAAGCTTCTTTATTTTTCATGACTGTATATTTGAGTTTTAATGACGGTTATTCTTTAGCTTTTCATCGATATATTTGAGTTTTAATGTGTCGTATAATATACGTTTTAAATTTATTTACATGTTATTTTAACCTATATTTATAATGACCAAGCATAATATCATAGAATATGAATCTTACCGATAATGTAAATTATAAAACAGTGAATAAAGGATTAATTTGAAGATTAACATTTCTAACTAAATTACAATTATTTTCCGCTTCTAGTACACCATTTTTAAACAATATATATTTTTACCTTCTTACATTCCAATAAATTGTAATGTTTCAAAACGAACCAAAAATTTGAAAGAAAAATGAAATATTACAGTCCTTTCCTTACATCTACAACTTAAAATCTCTCATTTCATAAATCTACGACATATCTCACATTCATCTATTTTGTTACACAAGTTTAGTTAGTTTCTGTATATATATTTATACTTTATAAATAATAGTTACCAAATGGTCTAGTAAACGTTTTTTAATAGTTTTATTAGTAATATTGAAGAACAATACCTTTGTAGTATACCACTGGTTACTGGTTTCGGTTGGTTCCTTTATTCACCTATCAAGAGGTCGACATGTGTTTCAACCAATGTATTAGGGGTTATTGCGTGATTAAGTAAAAACCTTAATGGAATAACTGTAATGAAAACAATAGATCTGTACAGCTGTTGGCTACAACTTGTTATATATTTAACAAAAAAATAATTAATTATAATTGTTATTACTAGTTGTTAATCTTGCTTTAGGGGTATGGCCTTTAATTTAGAAACCATAAGTAGTCTCTAATACTGACTAACTAACCCATGGTTTTCTCCACTAATCATTTTCAATGCTAAACTAATCTGTCGACCTAACTTTGAATCTTTGTCAAGAGGCTAATCAAATCCCTATAGCTCGCCGATCGAGTGGTTAATTTAAAGACTAGTTGAGTATATTAAATGGACAAATAAAATAATTTGCACCGAATCAAATGTTCACAATGGCCACGACACACGAAAATGGGATTTCATACGTCGAGGAACCTTTCATGTGATGTGGCTAAATGTTCTCTTCGACAATGATATTATTGATATGCATATATTTGATTTGACCATATATTAGCATCGTCATTAGTTTCTTTTTTTTTCCCTTAACAAAAAAAGAGTATGTATATCTCGTAAATCTGGGGAATAATATCACGAAACTTAGGTTTAAGAAAGTTAATGATCATTTTTATGGAATTATTCCAAAAATAAAGTTAACTTATTGACGTGCATTAAAGACTACACAATTAACATATATTATGATGAGAACTATGTATATAAATATAATTCCGAATCTTTGTCTCAATTCTCAAAGAACTCTTGTGATCTCATAATCATCATCTTTTATTCCTTGTCTTCAATATGGAGGATGGAGAAGCTTCAACGATTACTTGCTTACCGACCACGAAACAAAACCCTAACTTGCTTGTCAACCAAAAGAAAGAGAGCAAAGAACAAAAGCCTAAAACCACCAAAGGTCGACAGAAGATAGAGATCAAGCGGATCACAGAGGAGAACCGAAGGCAAGTGACGTTTTCGAAACGAAGAAGCGGTCTTTTCAAAAAAGCGGCCGAACTAAGCGTTCTCTGCGGCGCACAGATTGGTATCATAACGTTTTCACGCAGCGAGAGGATCTACTCGTTTGGTAACGTGGGCACACTCATCGATAAATACTTGCGCAAGACTCCGGTGATGCTGAGGTCAAATCGTGGCGGCGACGTGCCAACGGGAGAGGAGAACAACGACGGTTTGATGTGGTGGGAGAGAGCGGTGGAGAGTGTACCGGAGGAGGATATGGAAGAGTACAAGAAGGCGTTGAGTGCGTTGAGGGAGAATCTACTGACGAGGATCTACCAGATGGGTAATGATAGGACGGCTGAGAATCTTCCGGCGTTTCCAAATGATATGGCTATGGCTGATTGGAAACTGACTAATGAGAATCTGATGGCTAGGAACAATCGAGGTTATGTCGGTAACGATGCTGGTTTGGACTTTGGGGTTCCATTTATGTCTCAAAAACCTAGACAGTGAAGTGTTTTCATGTTATTACATATAGACGTAGGTTGATTCTAAATTATAAATTCGTTTACCTAAATTAACTAATGCATGGTTTCAAGTTTTATCGATAATTATGAGGCTGATCTATTTTTTGTTCAGTCAGTTTCTTTGTCTTTCTTATTTAGTTTATTTTTGTATTTATAATGTTATTTTATCCCAAATCTTGGTTTACATAAAAATGGTATTGTAATATTTTTTCCAACCATTGGCTTGAATTGAGGTTAGCTTGTCTTTGATTGACCTCTCGATGGTTGTAGAATGTGTTTGTTAGAACTGAACAAGTTCTATATACAACCAGGAGTAAGATTGAGTTTCCTACAAGTTTTAAATAAGAAATGGTGAAGTTACTGTTGTTCATCCATGGTCGGAGCTGGTCACCAGAGAACTGGGCCAACTGGCCGGTTAGATGACATCAACAATGAGTCAAGTCAATTTATGTCGATACCACAAATAAGTCGAATAGATCAGGAAACTGATTCAAAATCCGATATACGGGTTTTAGGGATCAAAACATATAAACTTTGAAGATCTTTAAAGCATCAAAATTGCAAGTTTCCACTTTCAGAAGCAATATTAGTAAAGAGTTAATTATTAATAAAAAGTTGAAACTAGAGATAGAGTTGAATAAGCTCATCGCTAACTACAGAGGGAGAGAGAACACCAAGGTCCGTGAATAGGAGTGTTAGGTACTGAGGCGGAGTATAGTCTCGAGCTGACCTCTCTACTTCCACCTTTGTTGGTATCTTTATGCCAAACTCGATTGGTCTCAGAGCTGGTGCCATGTCCTTTTGGTCTAATGGGTAAAGCCTAGCAAACTGCAAACACACAACTTTGTATCATTAACCACACTCTCTCTCTCTCTCTTGGATCTAATAAAACCGTTTCAATTACCTTGTAACTCTCAGCAGCGACATAGACAGGTTTGTTCATGCTATGTGCTACAAGTGCGATTTGGTATGTTCCCATCATGTTGATAATACCACCACTTTCTACAACTCCATCTGCCCCAACAAACACCATGTCTACTTCGTCCATGCTATACGCTACAGCTGAATCAAGCAGTAGTTTCACTGGGATATCAAGCTTCGATAGCTCACTCGATAACAAAACTCCTGTTCCATCCGGCCTTCCCTCTGTCATTTATTCATTAAAAGGTTTCAGCAAGAGACGAGTTTATAAAGTCAAGATTATGTAGATCACAAGAAACAAATGTCTCAGAAAGACCAAGAAAGCGGTAAGACATTAAGCGGATACAACTCAAGTTCCAATCTAAGCTTGTTGATAAAAAGAAAAAGGGTGTTTTCGAAAAGAGAACCTGTGCAGAGAACTCGAAAGAGCTTGTTGTTCTGTGCAGCAGTCTTTAGTATTTCCAGGACAACTCTAGAGAGTCCATGAACCAAAATGGTACAACCATCAAATATAAAATCTTGACTAAGCATTGCGATAATCCTACGAGCCTGCACAATAGTTAAATTTCTTTATAAATCCTCTTCTATCAAATGCCTTTTGATCTACATACTTCATTGATAGAAATTAGAAAACAGGAGCCATTAAGGGAAGTACCTTGCAAGATATTTCCCCAAATTTCTCAGCACGTTCAAGAAGACGAGACTTAGCTGAATTGAAATCTTCATATTCTAAAGCAGACGTCCTCGTAACGTATCTGATGAACAAATCGCATCCCGCAGTCAAAGAGATTGAAGTTTTGTCCCATGACTGCCAAAATTGAACATTTCTCAATCAAACAAAGCCAACAAATTCGAATGGTGAATGAACATAAAGGGAAGTCCAATAATTTGGATAATGAAACTGGGAATCCACCTTGAGTGTATCAGAGGCCTTTTTGAGCTCAATTTCAAGCTCCATCATAGTAGTAGCTTCGCTGGCACGAATAACGGCTGCTAAAGCTCGAATAGCCGCGACGGCCTCAGCCAGATCCGGCTGCTTTCTCCAGCTATTGAACTCTTCAATTACATTAAACGACTTCCCGTCTCCGAGATCAGTGAGGGACGAGATAGGATGCTCATCCCCAGAGACGCCCCCCACGGCGGCTTGAGCTTGGGATAGCCACTCGCTTGTAATGACACCGTGATGCGCCGCGCGGGTCTGGTAGTAAGCGGAGATGGAATCAGGGTTTTGAAAGGGGGCTCGTGTTGTGTCTGCCATGGGAGGTGAACTCGAGGTTCGCCGCTCGTCGAGGATAAACGACGGTGATCTTCGCCACATTGATTTTCGTTTTTTCTTTAGAAAATTCCGAAAAATGGAGAAAAAAAAAATTGAACAAAATTGAAAATTGAAGGTTATTTTTCTTTCACTTTTCAGTCCGTAGGTCAGGTAACCATATTGTGAATGAAAGGCCCATTAATAAGCCCACTTATTATATCCACATAGTCACATCTCAGAATCTCACATAGAAGACATTTTGCACTAGGACCAAAAAAATAAAATCAATTTAATTAATTTTCATATCATTGTTTTTCAATACCTTCATTATCTTAAATTGGCATGCCATTGGAGTAAAAATATTCTAAAATTTAAACTGTCTGATGATCAAAACATTACTTCACTTTTTAATTACGTGAACTGATTACACTTTTCTCAAAAGTTCTTTTAGGTTCATCTTCATGGTAAGGTTTCTTTAGTCGCGGAACTCGTCCATGAAGCTCTTGTGGAACTCTGTGAGACGATTCACTATCGCCGGAATCTTGTCTTCTTGCGATAATATTGTGCATCTAAAGTGCCATGTTCCAGGAACCTAACCACAGTGAATCGAAACACACAGGTTCAAGTTTTGAAAACATTAGAAGTTTCTCATTTGTGAAGGTTTTGGTTATTTTTTTTACCTGTCCAAAGCCAGAACCAGGGACTACAACCACACCAGTAGCATTGAGAAGGCGTTTGCAGTAGAACGCATCTGGCGCAGTTTTTTCGGCCTCAGCAGCTTCAATCGCCTTTTGAGGAAGATTCATTCTTGGGAAGAGATACATTGCTCCTTCGGCTCTGTTACATGTAACACCTTCTAAGTTGTTAAGAGCCTCTTCCAAAGTCTGCACATTCAGTGTCAAGCTTATGAATATTACAAAAGAGACTGAAAATGTCTTTTAGAGGGTATTTCAATCTTCAAATCACCTTTGCACGTTTAGCCATGGATGAGAGAATTCCATCTCTTTCTACCATGTATGAGTCATATGAGTCATCACCAGGCTGATCAAATATGTAAAAGACTGATTAGCCATTTATCTGTTGCAAGAAAATAACAAAAAAAAAAAAAAACGATTAGAAAGAACTAGACTGTGTGTTACCTTTGGTGGGCTCATGACAAGGCTAGCAAGAATTTGACCAGAGATGTTAGAACAAAGATTCACAGAAGCCATTTTGTATATCTGTTCTCTTACATCAGAAGTGAATCCAGTCACCTCCATGTAGCCTCCTCTTTTTCCACATTCTCCATAGTATCCTTATCAACAGAAAACGAACAAAAAGGCCAGTTTAACTAAAACCCCACTTTTGAGTTGACAAGCATTGAATAGTAAGTAAGTAAAACTTGTTCTTTTACCCTTGGAGACTGATTGGAACGAAACTAACGAGATATCCTTTTCGCCATGGCCCAAAGACCGAGCTATTTTCTTGAAAGAATGGAACTTTTTGTCAGGGACGTAAACATTTTCTTGGTAGACCTCATCAGCTAAAAGAACTAAACCCTCTTGCTTGCAGAAATTAACAATGTCACACTGGTTTTCTTCCGCAAGAACCTTAACCAAATTCATAGCACAAAATTAAGGAAATGATACATTTACATAGTAAGTGTTTAAATTTGTTAATCTAAGTCTTGAAGATGTGGTTTTACCTGCCCAGTTGGGTTACCGGGGTTTATGACAACCAATGCTCTCACAGTGATGCCCTTCGACCTAGCTTCCTCCAGCTGCTTCTTAAGTTCAGATATTTCCAGTCCCCATCCTGTTGCTTCATCTAAATAGTATGGAACCTAAGCAGAAAAATGACAATCAAAAGAATGAAAAAAGATCTCAACCAAAACAACATTATTCCATAATGATAATATGAACATACCAAAGATCCACCGTGGAGAGCAATTGAAGCAGAATACAAAGGATACTGAGGAATGGGACAGAGGATACCATCTTTCTCTGAGCTTAATAGAAGTTGCATCATCATGTGAACCTATTGAGTGAAGAGAGAATAAAAATTCACTAAGGATGAACTCTATTAAAGGACTTTCTCAAGTAATATAAGAAAATGTTTTGGCTGTTACCGCTGGACTTGCACCATCAGTCAAGAAAATATCATTTGGATCAGCAGGGAAACCATCACGGGCTTCAATTCCAGCTGCAATAGTGTCACGTAATCCCTTAATACCCTGGGGAAGAAAAAAGGAATCCTTTAGCAACTTAAGGCTCATCTATATATAGTGTTAAGGACTTTAGTTAGAGCCTGATGACAAACCTGGCTGTGACTGTAAGCACCAGTAGCTCTCCCAGGAATTTGATCCAGAATCTTCCATGCTCGGTCAATTGAATCAGTACTGATACCAGATAAAAATCAAATGTGAAGCAATCTTAAACCATATAAGCAGTAGAGCGTACATGTCCTAAAGCTAAAGTATAGCATGGAAAACCTCAGGATCACCGTTCAATATACCTGAACAAACCATGTGTTTCAGACTCATCCAACAGGCTTGAATGGTCACACAACGCAAGAACCTGAGATATGAAGATGGTCATAAAAAATCACATCTCAGGGTTGAAAATGACAAACAAACAAGCACCAAAAACATATGTTTACCTCTCGGAAGAACCTTATAGGCAGCTGACCAAGTGATTGAGGATTCCCAATGTTGCAATAGATGATCTGTCAAAAGCGGTGAATACTTTCTAAGTTTCTTTGTTGTTTGGGAATTATACAGAGTTTGAGAATATGCAACATCAACACTAAACTATCCACTCTATGAGACTCATATAATAAAAAAAGCCAATCATAATTCTAGAAAGTATACACACTTGAGAACATGAATATGCCGATGAAGAAGAAGATTTTTACCTCATCGAAGGGATAAGCATCCTTATTAGACTTCAAGTCTTCTTGCAACTTCTGTAAGATGTAGAAACAAAAGGCAGACAGAAGTCAATTAGATTTAAACATATCTTACAAATATTGTTCTCGATGTTACTAGACAAAGCACATAAATATCTGACCTGAGCAATGTTGACGATTTCACCACGAACAGCATACTCACATTTCAGAACCTGCAACCAAAAAATAAAAAATAAACAACCCTCTTAGTTACAATTAAACCAAGTTCTCAGCATGATTGAAAGTAAAACATAAGTAAAGTAATGACAAGAGACGTGAAAAGAATAAAGAAACAAGTTAGAATTATGATCAGTTGAAGGGAAAAATTAAGATTTTAAAATTTTTGGAAAAGAGGAATCTGCAAGGAAACATATAAATCATCACGAGGATTGAACCTAAGGCACAACAAGAAGAAGCAAAGCTCAGAAAATAAAATCCAAATCAAGTACGGCGAACCGAAGAAATAAAGCAGAGCTTGTAGATTTCATCATTTGGGAAACACAACGAGAAGCAAAGAACAAACCTTTGGCGTTACATCAGAAAACCACACTGAAAAAATCGAAAAGTTGAGCTAAACAGAAACAAATCCAGATCAATCGAAGAAAATAAAAAAGAGCCAGGATTTAGAAAGCCACCTTGGGGTTGATGGAGTCAAGAGTAACAGGAAGAGAGGAAGTGGAATCAGAAGAAGCAGCCATCTCCGAAGTAGAAGACAATAAACGAGACAGAGAACTAAGAGGAGCAAGAGGACGAGATTGAGGAGTAAGAAGAGAGAGAAAGCTTGGACTTTTGTGATGTTGACGGCGAGTAGTATGGTCGACAAGACCTTTAGCTTGGCTAGTCAAAAACCTCCTCATCTCTCTGTTATCAGCTTTATAGTACCAACGTGTTACTCAAGCCCGAGATTGAAATATTCTCACAGACGAAGAAGGGTCCCCAATTAGTGTCCTCTCTAAACCACTAGTGCCTGCCTGCACACAGAATTTTGCCTTGTTCTCCACGTTCAAAAAAAGAAAAATTGAGAATTTGTTTTTGCTTTTCTTCAATAGACGAAGATATTTGTAGGGTTTTTATTTTTTAGGCGGCTAGTTTTATTGAATTTATCTGTTAGAAACCAGTGCTAATCCCATAAAAAGACATGTCCTTAAGAAAAAAAAGGTTGTCTGAAACTCTGAAGTCTATTTGTCAAACAAGACAATGATCATCTACCATTATCATCTATTTAATTTTCGTTCATACTTGAGGAAAATATAGTATTTTAACAATATACTGTAATCTTATCTAATTTAATTGATGATTTCGTAACGTCTACTCTCTCGTCTATTTTCGTAACATGTAGCAGTAGGGGTGTTTTTTTTTCTTTGGTCAAGAAACTTTTTTTTTGGTTTCGGAGAACCAGAGTTGATCTCCACTATTGGGCCTTAAAAAGGCCAGTAAAATCGTGCATCAAACCCATTACTTGATATATTCAAGTCACTAAAACCTGCACCGTATTAGGTTGGACGAGGATAAAACCCTAGAAATTTAGAAAACATCTGTAACTTCAAACATGGAAGTATTTTGATCCAACGAATACTAGGAATTGCATAAACGACATCGTTTACTTGGTCTTACCTTTTGATTTTGATTCTTCATCTCTCTGCGCCGCGTTCTCTCTGTGAAGCTCACGCCCTTTCGGTTTTTTCATATTACATCAACTGCGTTTTTTGCATCCTCAGGTTTGTGTTCTGATAAACCTTATTGTTCATGTTCTACTTGTATCAAGCTTCACATAGATTAGTGTCAAGTTTTAAAATTGGGAATTGAAATTTATATTGTTATGTTTTTTTGTGAGGCTTGAATATTTGTGTAAATGGGAACATGTAGTTCTTTTTTTTTTTTTGTCGACGGGGACATGTAGTTCTTGGAAGCTGATTGTTTTTAAGTGTTAGGGTATACTTGTTTGTTATTAAGTGTTTTTTTTTTTTTTTGTCTTTTGTTGGTAAAATTTCATAGGGTTTAACATAGTTGGGTAGGAATTACATGGTTTCAGTTGGTTCCAAATCATTGCCATCTAGGAGACACAGGACTATTGAGGAAGATAGCTTGATGGGTGAACGGGGAAAGTCTAGCAATGATCACAGTGAAAGGAAAAAAAGAATGTCTAGGAAGGACCAGAGAGGTAGCCGTGGATTTGATGGAGATAGTAACAAGAGGAACCAATCTGGTGGTGCCCCTAGTGTAAAGCCGGTATCAAAGAAACAATCCGAGTTTGAACATCAGAATCAGTTTGTCCGGTAAGGGAGATTTTGATCCCAACGCCTTTGCTCTTATTTTGTTATCATAAGAACGTGGTATTAAAATCGGGCTTAACCTTTTGCAGGAAAGAGATTGATCCAGAGACTTCAAAGTATTTCTCTGAGATTGCCAATCTCTTTGATAGTAACGAAGTTGAATTAGAGGAACGTTCAGTGATATGCGGAAATGCACTTGAGGAAACAAGAGGGAGGGAATATGAAATCGCAACTGACTATATCATAAGTCATGTCTTGCAAACTCTACTTGAAGGATGTGAACTTGACCAACTTTGCAGTTTTATTCGGAATTCTGCTACGGTGTTCCCAGCCATTGCAATGGATAGATCTGGTTCTCATGTTGCAGAGTCGGCTCTCAAAGCCTTGGCCACACATCTGGAAAATCCAGATGCCTACTCTGTTATTGAAGAGGCTTTGAATTCTATATGCAAGGTACTTATTCCTTTTTTGCTAATGAGGTTACTATAATGATGCTTATAGTTATAAAACTGGTAATTTACCTCGATTGTGACTGTAATATATTTCCCTTGGTCAGGTGATTGTGGATAATCCTCTTGATATGTTGTGCAACTGCTATGGTTCTCATGTTCTTCGAAGGCTTCTTTGTCTTTGCAAAGGTGTCTCTATAGATTCCCCTGAGCTTTATGGTGCAAAATCATCAAAAGCTCTGGCAAAACGTTTGAATCTGAAGATGTCTCAGTTAGATGAGAATAATGTAGAAATCCCTCATCAAGGGTTTCCAGATCTTCTCAAGTACCTTTTATCTGGGATATTAAATTGTAGCAGAGAGGACATGAAGTATCTACAAGTCGATCAGTATAGCAGTCTGGTCTTACAGGTAGGTTTTATGTCCCTGTCTAATCGGTTTTGTTATTTTCAAGCAACTTCTTTCGTAAGACTGTTATTTTAATCTCACTTTCTGGTTCATCTTCTCTTGACAGACGGCTCTCAGACTAATGCTAAAACAAGATGAGGAGTTGCTTGAAATCATTCCGCTTATTCTGTGCTGCAACTCTACTAATAAAAAAGAAGAAGGGCTTCATATAGAGACTAGTGTTGCCAAAGAAATTTTAAATTCAATGAAGGATAATTCATTCAGTCATCTGATGGAGGTAACTGAGTTGGTTATACCAAAATTCAGGTTCTTGCCAAAAAAAAAAAATTGATTATGGACATATTGCCTGTGTTAGACTATGCAAAACATTATCTAGAATGACCCTTGGTTATCTTTTGATTCCATGCTGTAAGTGAAGTGTTAATTTTCTTTATTGTCGTTTTAATTGCATTTGCATGCCATTTTCAGGTGATTTTGGAAGTGGCCCCTGAAAGTTTGTATAACGAAATATTCCACAAAGTTTTCAAGAATTCTTTATTTGAGCTTTCAGTTGATCGGTGTGCAAATTTTGTTATTCAAGCTTTAATCTCCCATGCAAAAGACCAAGAGCAGGTATCTTTATCCTACTGACACTTCATATTTTTCTGTATTTGTGTTGTTTCCTTGAAGCCGATAACTTATGATTAAATGATTTTGTTTGCAAGATGGGTTTGATATGGGAAGAATTAGCTCCAAGATTCAAGGATCTTCTTGAGCAAGGGAAGTCTGGTGTTGTGGCTTCTTTGATAGCGGTTAGCCAAAGGCTTCAAAGTCATGAACATAAGGTTTTTATGTTTTCTAAATTCTGATAAAATTTTATTTCTTCTCTACTTTCAAAAATGTTTTCTTATGCAAGTGATTTTTTACAGTGTTGTGAGGCCCTTGTTGGTGCAGTATGCTCGACAAATGAAACCCGTATCTCCATTGTTCCACGGTTGCTGTTTCTTGATAGCTACTTTGGTTACCAAGATAAGTCTACATGGGAGTGGGCACCTGGTGCAAAGATGCATGTCATGGGTTGTTTGATCCTTCAGGGGATTTTCAAGTTGTCTAGCGTATGTTTCCTTCTCTTCATGTGTTGACAAAATTAGTTTCAGCGGTTTTAACTACCTAGTTTGTCTGTTCATGTGCATTGACAGTAATTCCTAACTTTTGCTTAATTTCACAGGATCATATACAGCCATACATAACAAGCTTAACTTCTATGAAAGCTGAGTATATCATCGAAACAGCAAAAGATTCCAGCGGAGCACGTGTCATCGAGGCCTTTCTTGCCTCAAATGCTGCTACAAAACAGAAACGCAGACTAATAATAAAGTATGCTTTGCTTCTTAATGTTATATGGAAATATGTTTACTTCAAGACCGGTATAATCCATAGTGTAGCCTGTTTATATGATTAAATACCCAAAACTGAAGCATAGGGGGAGTCAGAGTTGTCTTTCATTCTGTTTTTTCTTTGGTGCTTTTCTTTCATTCTCTTGGGCTAATTGTTAAATTTTCAGGCAATTGTTCTTTACTTTAATGATGTTCCTTACACTGTTGGTTTTGTCACAGGTTACGTGGACACTTTGGCGAGCTCTCATTACACACATCTGGTTCATTTACTGTTGAGAAGTGTTTCGATGCATGTAACTTGACACTAAGGGAAGCCATAGCAACTGAACTGTTAGATGTGAAAGTTGATCTCTCCAAAACAAAACAAGGGCCTTATCTGCTTAGGAAACTTGATATCGATGGGTAAGATATTATTCAGAAACCTTACCTTGCTTTATTTGCCGGAAGGTGTAACACATCAGGAAAACTGGTATCACCAGCATAAGAATTTACATTTCAAATGAAAAAAAAAAAAAGAGAGTAGAATTCCTTCCTAAGAAAATAAGTAAAAAAGTGACGTATCTGTAGCATTGACACATGCCTGTAATCTTTTGCATCTTTTAAATTCATTATTGTTATGATTCGGAATTATTTTTCTGTTGTTGTTGCAGTTATGCCAGCAGACCTGATCAGTGGAAATCAAGACAAGAAGCCAAGCAATCGACATATAACGAATTTTGTTCTGCATTTGGGTCCAACAAATCAAATTTTCCAAAGAACACCTTTGTTTCTGACGCATCTGAGGATGCATCTCAGGAATTAGAAGTAAAGAACGTAAGGAAAGAGATTAACCATCATCCTACTTCCGGGTTTAAGCGTCACCGAGAAGAACATGCAAGGGATAAGGATGAACCTTTTGCAGGTGAAAAAAGGACGAAACAGAGAAAGAATAAAACTAGTGAAGCAACAGATAAACCAAAACTAGCTGGCAGCAAAAGACCTTTCCTTTCCGGTGAGATGAAGAATCGGCATGCAAATAAATTGAGAATTTGAAGGTTAGCCTCCTTGCTCTGTCATATCCTCACTGCATTTTTCTCATCTTTGTGCCACATTTTTTTTTTAATACCTAATTTTTGATGAAGATGACAGCATAGTGGAAGCCTTAATGGCTAGATTTACCTTTACAAGAATGCTAATAAAAACAGTCTTCTCATATCACACTCCAAAAGAACTTATAGAGGTCTAAGCCCTCTCTAGGAACTGTTAATAGTAGGAAGCTTATAAGATGGTTTTCTTATGTTTCAAACTTTCAACTACATTTCAGCATCCCGAAATATATGTGTAAGATACACTATATACTACCACAAAAAAAAAAGTAGAATGATCTAAGACTGCAAAGTAAAAAGTAGAATTAAATCTATGGTTCTCTTGCTGTAATATGATGTTTCCTACTTCCTCCTACATCTGTTAGAGGATCGATCCTGGTACAAAAATGCACACTCTTGGTGTCAATCATACATACTCAGAGAGATATACGAAATCTAATTGGGATGTGTAAAGATGTGAAATTGATTGGTGTGGTTTGTCTTTACTTGTTCTGTATAGGGCTGGAGCCAGTCCTTGGGATTCTTCGGAAGCTATCTTTTTCACCTCTTAGAGACACTCCCTTTGTCTCCTTGTTTATCTGCAAATCTCTCACATCTTTACTAGAAGTGAAATCCATGGAAGTTGGCGCCATCTGACGACCCTGTACGTTATTCATGTTGCTAAACAAAGCTAGAAGTAACATAATCAGAGCTGCTGAGGTTGTTGCCGATGATCTCTTCATTGTGAATTTTCTTGATCTGTTCTTTATCTTGGTGCTGTAGGTTGTTATGTTCCTGACACTGCAATAGAGAAATTTTTTTGGTAGCGAGCTATGTCTGAGTGAAAGAGAAAGGAATATGGATTGAAAGTCTTGTTTCTTTTGTAGATTATATTACAGTCCCAAGAGACTTATTGGGATCTAAGCACGTGATCTAGTTTGACTGGTGTGCCAATATACTTATATATTTCCCCAATTGAGTTTCAGATGGTGAAGATATTTAATGGTTTCTAGATCATTCACTGCCTCATTGGTGATTTTAGTCCTTGCATACACATGAGTACACATTCATTTACACACCAGCCATGAAAAATATTTTTGATTAAGATGAGGATCATGTGATAGGGCTCATGTGATAGGGCACGTGGTTACTGATGCTGTTTCTATTAAATTCCCAATTAATCAAGTCCCAACTTCATGAGAAGAAACGTTGCAGGTTAACAGCTCATGTCACTAAGATTATCACCAACTTTTTTCTTTCTTTTTAAGTGGTATGAGAAAACCGTGTTCTACGGAGTTTCCTTTTGGCCTACAAATACCGAACCGGTTTTCTAGATTGGTTTCCTAGGGGTATTCTAAGCCACCGGCTTGCTAGTTTCTCTTGTCTTGTTTACAAGTAAACTCATGTAGTTCAATATTTTGCATCTCGAGAAACTTCTCACTTCATGCCTTGTCCTTGTATCCTAAGCTCTGATGGTTCAACATCATAGTGTCTTTCTCTTGTTGTGTAAACATAGTGGAGTTTTTGACAAACATCTGACGTTTATAAGACTTTGAATGTGATTATAGAGAACAATATAGGACTCTGGTGTTGATCTGAGACTGAGTTAACAAAAGTTTTAAAAGTTCAATTTCCCGATGGAATAGATAAAATGATTTACTTGGATTACAATGAAAGCTCTCAAACACAGCCAATAAAGAGCCGAGACCAATTCACAGTTTGAAATCTTCAGGCAATCTTACTTCAGCTAATAATAACAAACTTCAAGGATCAACAGAAGTAGCAGCATTGGCGCTGCTACTACTAGTACTACTATTGCTACAAGCCACTCTCTTGTCTCTGCTCAGAAACCTCCTTAAGGACCTCAACCTTGTTGTCATTGGAGATTTTGGTTCTTCCTCCTCAACAATGTACCTCACTGATGACGACGAAGATGATACATTTTGACTTCTAACGGAAGAATCATTGATATCCAGAACAACAGTTTCTTGGCTCTGAGAAGCAGCATTACCAGCACCGTCTTCTTGAGGCCCACCATTGGTGTTTCCGGTACTAACCTGATCTTGGCGACCCCATACCAAGACATTGGTGGGGAATTCCGGAGAAGTTGAAATTTGGGACAAAGTATCATGGTTGCTATTGGTACCACCAACATGATCTACATTTTCCGGAACATGTTCAACTCTCTTTGAGCTAGGTTGCTCAGGACCAAGAACCGTGTTTCGACAGATGGGACAAGTTGAGTGAGACTGAAACCACATATCAATACACTCAACATGGAAGCTGTGGTTACACTTTGGAAGCAGCCTTGCTTTGTCCCCTTTGACAAGCTCAGACAAGCAAATAGAGCATTCCAAGCCATCTTTGCAACTATCTTGTCTGAAAAAGACAATTGGTAAGGAAGTGAGTTCAAAAGGGGTAAGTCCAGTGTTGGATAGAGCATCTTGGCCTGGGACGAAGATGAAACGGCGTCTCTGGCGGCGAGTGATTAGAGGCGGAGCAGTGGATGATTGGTCTTCTTCTTGTTCTTGGTCTTGCTCTTGTTGTTGTTGCTGCTGCTGCTGTTGTTGGAGCTGATCTATTCTCCACCAGTAGAGTTTGGCGTAAAGATGGAGGATAAGGACGAAAAGAACGGCCATGAACAGAACAATAATAGCTGTGAGAATAATCTTGCTTGTTACCTCTTCTGTTGATAGATCACCGAACATAGAGCTATGAGCAGATCCACCATTGTCTCCCATTGCAATACCAAGGGGACGGGACAAGATCAGGAACTGTTTCTGTTACTTCTCAAGCTTGATACTTGGATATGAACCCCAACACAATCGGCTTGATAATATGAAAGAAAACGAGAATACAGAAGCAGAAAATGCAAGTTGAGCAGAGCAAAACTTAGAATTGGATAAAGAGAATGAAATTAGGGTTTTGTGAGAGAGAGAGAGAGAGTGAGAGCAAGTACCAAAAAGCTAGAAACTTTACTCTTTTGTTGGGTAGCCAAATGGAAGAAACTCAAAGTAAACAAAAAAACCCAGAAAGATTATGTAACAAAGGCTTGATTTTTAACAGGAGAAAAAACAGAGCTCAGAACTGAGAGTAGACGTGTTTAATAGTGTGAAGCTCAGTGAGGAATTTACTTGGTATAAAAGTGTTGTAAGGAAGAGGAAGTAAGCCAAAGAGGAGAGTGAGACAAACAAAGAAGAAAGGTGTGAAAGGGTCTGTGTAGTTTCAATGTGACTCGGCCATGGAGGAAGAAGAAGAAGAAGGCAAGGCAGAGTGATAAAGAGGCAAAGAAGAAGAAGCAAGAATTGAGGAGAGATGAGTGGAGCCCAGTGTATTGAAATTGGAGTTGGGGAGCTACTCTGTCTCTACTCTACTCTCTCAAATCTCTCTACTCTACTATACCTTTTCTTTTTACTCAAAGACCAATTTGTTTTTTCTTTATGCGTTATTTCGTCGGCATCCTTCTCCATTTACTCAGTTTTTTCCGGTAATGCTTCTTCTCTTCATTACAAAGAACAAGAAAAATACTATCTACATTCCTTTTGTTGTTTTGTCTGAACTGAACTAATTTTATTACTTGATTATTTAGGTAAACCCAAAAACAAATTAGGCTTTTGGTGTTTTAAAAATAATAGAAAGTAAATGCAGCTTATATATAGAATCTGATTCAAAATTGTTACAAAAACAAACTTGAATGTTAATAAAGTTACCTTAATGCAAAAAATAATAATTAGTATATATAAGAATATGGAGTACACTATAGTCTAAAATGATGGTATGCACTGACTTTCACATCTTTTAAGATTGTTTTCGTCTTTCCAGGATATATCGGTAAGTACTCTCCACAATGTTTACATTTTGGTTTCCTTTTAACCTCTCAACTGTGTTATGAATATTGAATAAAAAAGGAAAGTAAAAAGTAAGTCAATGTTAATGGACGACAATATGTCATGCACTAATTTGATATAATTAGATGGTTTAATCCATATTATACTAATAGTATGTATCATCAATAGATGAAGCAAATTAATGAAGAACTTTTTATTCTTTCGAGATGGAATGATGCGAAAAAGAATCATCCTGGTCGAGAGACCTAGGTTTAAGGATCTTGTCTTATCATGAAGTGGAACCTTAACTATATTTGCAAATTTCAGGCACTCATAAATATATGTTCAGCCTAACTATCGGAATATTTTTCCAAAAAGGTGTAATGATATTAGTAAAAGATACATAAGATATAATCAACGATTTTTTTATTATTATTTATTATCCGAATTTTACTGATATTAATACTACTTTTAAGCTAAAATTAGTGTTATTAACTTGACTAGTATGATCCGGAGTCGGCAACAATTGAACACATTAGTCAATCTTTGTGGAAAGTCATATCAGAATTATGTGCTCTACCACCCAGAGAAAACAACACATCTTAGCCTGTCTTGAAAATAATATGGACATATTCAAATTCAACTTTTGGTATCAAGAAAAAATTTAAATAAAAATAAAATACTATTTGCAAAAAGCTTTCTAATTAGTCCTTATTGCGCAATTGCTCATTACCCGAAAGGAATTATGTAACTTTATTTTGTCTCAAAAGTTATAAAAAAAATATGGTTACTAGGCAAAATGATGAGAGTTGAATGATGGTCTTCTTCACCCTCCCTTAAATAACATATTCTCCTCTTTAATCATCAAATCATGCTCTCTAGCTAGATTCATATGGTTGATTAGCACCTAAATTATTTCTTGTCTATTTAAATTGGTTAAATGATTTTGATGAAATAATGTTATAGGTTTTGTTTTCAGCATTTAGATGAATTTTCCAATTTCTGATAAAAATATTCCTCCCAAAAATTTTCGTAATATATAGTTCAACGTTTATATACAATTATTTACTTATATATAAATAAATAAACTATTTTTCTCCTCTATATTATAGGATTAATTACAGTACATTTTAGTTGAATTTATGGTTTATCTTGATGTATCCCATGGACCATGACGCAAATTTCAACTAATTATTGTGGGCACTACAAATTTAACAAGCTACTTAGAAGAAACATGTTCTACCATATAAACTACTTGGACTTTAGAATGAACATATACAGGCTTTATTAACTGGACCATGACTGATCAATATACATGCAAGTGGGCAACATCAGAGTCTGATAACAGAAGAAGAAACGATTCGGCCCGTGAATTGTGTGTTATTGTATGAGCCGACGTATCAAATTATGGCCCATATGAGTTCTAGTGGGATGAAATGGGTCGAGTCTCTCACGGACACGTACGTATATGTTCCGGTAGTCAAAATTAACACTCAAAAAGGGTCGGACCAGTAGTGTCTCGTATGTTTGGCTCTTTCGAGGATATCACTATATATGGCTATTTTTGTTGCTTTGACTTTATTGAGACATCTCATCATTTGTTTTGGGTATCACACCAACAACTAGTTGCCAAGTAGATGGAATCTTGCAAAACAGAATCTTTACTAAAACGATATGAATAGTTGAATACATCTATTTTGAAATGGGTTCAAGTGTTTAGATGGGATAACAAATACCAACAACACATGATATGTAAAGCTATTCAAACTTCAAAGTCATAACTTCTTGATGACATATATATTGTGAAAAAACAAAAGCCAAGTGTGGTTAGATTTTGTTCTTTTTGCATGATCTTACCGGTCCAACTCAGAGCATTTACATGTGTTAAGTCTTTTTGACGATAGATGTATGAAAGATAAGCTATCTCCAAGTTTGTGTTACAATAATATATGTTATTGATTTTAAAAACTGATTTGTTTTATAAAGTCAAACGTTTTCTCTTGCCTTAATTTATGAAAATTCACGAGGAGAGCACACATTTCGGGTCGTCATAAAATATAAACATATGCTTATTCACACCTGTAGTAGTACAAAAACTAGTGTTTTTAATGTAATTATCACAAAACTGTTATTTTTTCTGTCGATTACTTTTAAAAATTGCAAATGGTACGAAAATTTCTGAAAGTTGTATTTATAATAATACCAAATTAGCTGTATACAGTTTAGAAAAGGACAAAGATTATATCATTAGAAAATTAGAAAAATGCCAAAATACAAAACAAACCAGGATCATGATACATGTTATCTTTCAGTGAAATTATATAAATAGATATATACAAAATTGGAATATCTTAAGACCAATCGTCCAATTGCTTTTGTTTTACAAAATAATTTCTCAATTAAATAGGATGTGAAACAATAAAAATATAAATTAATTAAGAAAAATGAAGAACTTGTCATACCACCAAATATATATAATATATATACATCAGGACGAGTTCTTCTCAAGTTAAACAGATAAGCCGATCAATGTGCTGTGTTTAGAAAATATAACCACAAACGAAACTTAAAAAAAGTTGTAACTCATCATAATAAGTAAAATATAAAAATACAGTATCTATTTGCTTTTGATCGTGATTTTATCGCGAGGCAAGAAAACGACAAGCTTGATCAAACCTGGATTTGAGGTGCAACTACATGAATCAAATAAAAAATACAACAAATCTATTTGGTAATTTTGAGAATTATATTATTAGAGATTCGATCTCTAAATTTGATTGAACTTTTAACATGAAAACTTAGATACATGATACCGAAAGGCTAATAATAATATGTTATCGTTTTGTAAAGTTTATCATTTTATGCCTCTCAATCTGAGCCTCAGAGTTCTAAATTCCCTTTTTTATTTACATGATAGAAAGATAAATAAAGCAATTCACAACAAAGGTCCAGGCCAAATTCTAAGCTTTTTTTTTTTTTTTTGGTAATATTTAATGTCAAATCTTTATATATTCGATTCCACTAAAGAGATAACTATTCTTAGGATGTCTTTTAAAACTCTATCATGTAATATTGTAATATACTTGATAGAGAGAAAAAAAAACAATTCATACCATCATTAGTTACTGTTACTAAGCACTAATTAAAGTATTAATCATGAACGATATTGTCCTCTAGAATTCACACAACTTAAGTAACTTTTTTCAGAATGCATGCGAATTATTTCAAATATGAGTACACAATAAGAACTATTCATCGTGTAATACCACATACGGGATCAAATAAATATTTATTGATATATATATATATATATATATATATATATATATATATGTAAGCTTTTCTGTTTTGTTATGAGCCATTTTAATAAGGTACAAAATCTGAAAAGTCGAAGACCCTTAATAATAACCATATTTGTTTAAAGTAACTTGTTAGATATCATATACGCAATTTGCTCATTAGTAAATCACGAAAAAAGAAAAACACATGAACAGCTTGATGGATTTTTATAACCCTAAAAAAAAAATCAAAAAGTCAAACAAAATATAAATAGTATCCATTCATCAAAAAAAAAAAAAAAAAAAATTATATGATCTTCTTTTATCTACCTTTCGTTCTTTATGACCACTATGATCTAATTGTTAAAATGTGTCTTCCACTTGTCATAAATTAAAATATAAAAAGATCCTCCATAAGGCAAAGTAATAAAGAAAGAAATAAAAATAAAGATGTTTTTTTTTTTCTTTCTTTATATTTTTAAGAGGATATTTTTTTTAAAAAAGTTGTATATGTAATGTAACACCACCACCACTACGAGCCACTACTACTAAACCAGCCGCCCCAAAAGGTAAACGCCTCTCTCCCATATAAAATAAAAATAATCATCATCAAATACTATTCTTCACATTCTTCTCTCTTTTTTCTTTATACTATATTCCTTTTTTATTTAATTTAATTTTGTTGTATTAAAACTTCAATATCATAATGTTTGTGGCCATCATCATTAATTTTATCATCCCAAAAATTTTCAATATTCATGATCAACATCATAGCACGCACGCACGCACGCACCTCCAAATATTGAAATGACCCAATTTTTTTTTTTTGTCTTTTTTAGAATAAAATTGAATCGGACGAATAGTTAAAACGCATACAAAACTTTGTTTTTTAACCGTTAACAAAAATGACAAAACAAAACAAGACAAACGAAGAATAACTAAAGTAAAAACAATTCTAGATATATGAAGACGAGTAGTAGTAGTATAGCGCTGACTTTTTTATTGTTTAGATTAGACTATTCATAGTGTTTCTACTTAAGGTTTTATTATTACATAAAGGAATAATAATAATTTATACTATATACTAAAAAAAAAGTTTTGCATTAAAAAAACCATACCCACAAGGCCACAACCACAATCAGAGCAAAAAGATAACATGATAAAATAAGAAAATATAAATAAAGTTAACTTTGGGTGTGACAAGAAGTTTTCGTCTGTTTGGTCTGACTATTCCCTTTGGTCAACGATGGTATTGAGAGCCATTTTACAAGCTTCGGACACAGAAACCCAGATTGGATAATCATGTCTTTTGTTTCTTTTCCCTCTCCTTCTTCTTCTTCTTCTTCA